GTGTGGGCCTCCATTTAAAGCCGCGTTTATTTAAGAATGAAAAAGAATAAATCAGCGGGAAGGCATCGGGGCCTGCCGTGGCGTTGTCGGGGGGTAGTTCTCACTCTTAGGAAGGAGAATCTCCTCGGGACTCGCACGCAGCCCCTGGGCACCCGCCGCCTCCCGGCCCCGGAGCGGCGGCCTGGGGTGCTGGGGCGGCGGCTGCTTCCCGGCTCCCCGCAGCCGGGCCGGCGGGAGCTGTCGGGGGACGGGCCCGGAGCACACGGAAGCAAATAGTTGGTCACAGCGGTGATGTAGTTCCGACGGCATCGCGGGGTGCCCCAGCTGAACGCTACAGGCTGCGAGGAGCTGTTTACTCAGTGATGGACTCGAGGAGAGGCAGCGGGGGGAGAAATTCCTAGTTTAGAGATTGCTGTTACCGTAAACAGAGATCGGCTGTGTCAGCAGAAGGGTTCTCTGTGTGGAGTTATAATCTCTGCTGACTGTAAATCTTGTCTTTCGCCACAGCTGTATCTGTGGGTTGGTGGTTTACAACGCCATGCAAAATAGATTAATTGCATCAGCAAATGTCGTTATGGAATAGTGGCTAGTGTAGACGAAGACTAAGTTAAGATTGAACAATAGTAATTCCAAACTTCTCCGAGGGAGAAAAAAAAAAATGCCTGGAAAACACTGGACAAAGAATTTGTGGCCTAATTTAGGAAGATCATTGCATCCAGAACCTTTTCCGTGGAAAAAGGTAGCAACAGCTGTGGGAGAAGCTGGCAAGCGTGTGGCAAGGCTGAGTGCACTGCTGCCCATGCTGCTCAGATCTGTACGTGATCCGTTACGTTGATGCTGGTATTTCTGAAATTGTGAATGGAGTTTTTTTCGTTTGGAACATGTTATGTGTTGTGTTGTAAGTAATGTTAAAGGTTTGTTTTTTTTTTTCCCTAGATATGGGCTCATTATGCCCAAAAAATTGCCGCAGAAAAATCTTATTTCAGAGAAACTCTCAGTGTTTGCAGATGACTCTGATGAAGAGGTCAGTTCAACAATTTTTTTTTCTGAAATTTGCCCCATATTCTGCAAATTATTTGTTTACAACCCTTAGCGCCTGCATCGGCTTATGGCACTGTCACTAAGACACGTGTCATCATTGGACATGAAATATGGTCTGTGTTTTCTTCAGTGCAAGTTCATCATATGTGGCAACCTGTGTGCAAGAGTTAATAGTATCTAGCTTATAAAAAAATTTGTTGGCTACCACTGGTAAATATGACTGCAAATAGACAGGAGTAATCAACGGTCCTTTCTCAGATGTTAAAGTGTAGTTGTTAAAGAGTATTTTATTTTATCCTTTAGCTCATTCCACCCAAATTTGGTATAACTAAATTATGATGTTCACACTCACTGTAAACAAAAGCAAAGCTGTACAAAACAGAAATTCTAAAGCAAAAAAAAAAAAAAAAAAAAGGGCAAATAATGAGAATTACAGGTAGTTTTGGTAGTATTTGCAATACTAGATTGAACAATACACGTTTTTTCTGTGATCACAGAGTTTACTGATGCTTCGTGGTGTATGACTGTATTGCATGATGTTTATAGTGTTCTTCTCTATAGTCTCCTTTATTTTTTAAAATTTTTAAAGTATTTACCTTCAAAATACTAGCTTTCTACCTGTCCCAGTAGAGGGTGCTGTATACTATAAAATTACACTTCTGGATGTGCTGCTCCGAGTATGGGGAGCATCTTGGAACTGGCGTGGTATATAGGCTGGGTTGGATACTTTACAGAAACCCAGCTTCTAAAACAGAATTTTGGAAAGATTTAAAGCCAGTAGCTTCATGGTTTACAGGTAAAGAATAGAAACTCAGAATTGTGGAGGTGAATTCTCCACCTGGATGGAGCTTTCTGGACATGATGTTACAGTGTTACTGGGTTTTATTGATCTGGAATTAATTACTTGTGATAATTTAATCATAATATCATTATGTGCATATTTAGCTTTTTTCCCACAAAATCCAGAAAATAAATTTTATGTATACCCTTAGACTAGAATTGTAACATTTAAGAAGTTGAAATTTAGAATCAGTTTAAATTTAGAAACAGAACCTGTGTTACAAATGTTCTTAATATTCTAGAGCTTCACTTAATGCTTGCTCTTTTGTGTAGTTGAAAAAAGACAATGCTAATCAAGCATGAAATAATCTTCCTCTGTTTCTGACTCCTACTATCAAAACATTTATTTTTTTTTATGAACTAGCAGTTGTTATTTTTATGTCACAGAAAGCCTGAATCTAGCAATTCCCAGCCTCTGCCTGGTTCGTTACAGAGCCCAGAATGTGGCTGTTGGGGGTGTCTGAGCCCCCTTTGTACATCAAAGGGCTGAGGGCCTTCCTACTAACATCCCCTCAGCATGAAACTGCCTCAGTGCAGTTTATGGGACTTACAGGAAACAGGAACGACAGGAACACGTTTTAAATCCCATTCCTTCCCTCACTTAGCTGCCATCCTCAGCGCCATCAGTAGGTGCATCCCTATAGTTGAGCTTACAGCTGGCACCGTGGCTCTAAAGAGAGGCTTTCCTTTCAATACAGCTAGTGGAGGTGACAGCGGATCCGCAGGAGCAATTTCCCTGTCATTTTGGGATTTGGTGTCTTTCTCTACATGAAGGGACTGACCCCACGTTTTCCAGATCCCAAGGATGAACTTGATTTAATCTCTTGTCATTAAACATTATGCAGCAGGGCTGGGAACCTTCCTCAGTGTGGGCCTATCTTGCATTTTTTCACTCCTCCACCTTCCCTTAATGTCTAAACGTTAAAGCAAAGTAATGAATTCCAATAATAATAATACATAATGCTGCCTGCTAACTTTTAGCTTAACAGATCAAGTACCCTCCCTTTCAGAAAGGCTGACAGATTCACTACCAGAGTCTGCTATAAAGAGACCTTAAAGTTGTCATGCTCATCAGTATGGTACATACCCAGCAAAAAGTAATAATCTCATAACTGCCTTTATCAAAGAAGATCTTTTTTTAAAAAAGCAAAATTACTTTATTAGTTCAATAATAATTTCAGAGCTTTTCAAGATAAGGAGCAGCATTTGGGAGGGGTTTCATTTCCTGTCTGCTACCTTATCAGTCAGAACTACATCTCAAATGTCTGGAGATTATGTATTTTTAACCGAACTCTAATAAAGTTTGTGCCGGGAGATCTCCACACCTGACTTGGTCTGTGATTATATACTAGATACCAAACTTTTGCTCCCTTTTTTTTTTTTAAATGTTACTGTGCATATTTCATTAAGATTTATGCCTGTACCCTTGCTGAAGGAATTTGAAAATTATTGTTTTTGCTGTGGCTAAGTACATTAATGGATGTTAGTTGCCCATGAAGGTGATCTTTGGGTTAGTTCATAAAAACCAGAATATCTGGGATGGAAATTTTCTTGAAATACGGTGTTGACTGGGAAAAAGTAAACCAAGCGATTACAGTTACTTCTAGCCAATACAGTTCTGAATTATTTGCCTTCATAATGGGGAGTTGTTCTATCTTTAGAAACTGGGGGGAAGGTTGTTACCCCTAGGAAAGCCTGTCATAGAGACTAGATGTTATGGCAACAAACTATGATATGTTAGAAATGTTTCCATTCTGGGTTACTTTTGTTTGTGATATATCCATTTTCTTCAAAGACATTATTCCCTTATTAATGCACTGAGTTTTCAGGGATGGCTTGTCAGTATTCCCAGTGCACTGCTCCATGTGCTGTTTTATCTTTGGGATCTAGTTGAAAATATCTCTGTGGTACAGCAGATAAAATCTCTGGGGGTTTATTGTGTCAGATTTGCCCAACATACGTTCCTGTACTTTACCAGCCTTTCAAAACTGATTTGTTGCTACAGGATATAAAGTGTAGCTGAAAAAAACCAACTGTACGTAGACCACAGTAGGTGCTAAATTCAAGAGAGAGATTTGGAGTCGGTGTGGATAGTTTGGTGAATGTATCAGCTTGATTTGATGGGGTTTTTTAGTGACTATCTAAAAGGTGAATGGAGTGTTTAAGCAGGCACAAAGGAAGAAACTGAAAACAAGCAGAAAACTGTATCCTGTTGTTGACTCAGATTTTTGATTTTGCTTACAGATCCTTCCATTCACTTTGCAACTTTGCAAAGGATACAGTGTGACTGGAAAAAAGTGGTGAAATAATGAGTATTGATGATGATCAGAGTTTATGCAACAGTTTTCATGCGAAATAAGACTAAGTAGGCTCAAGGGGCTCTTAAAAGAGGTAACTGAGAAGAAGGAAGTGGAGAGGAATAACTCGAGAGGATGTATGTGAAATCAAGAATGATTCAGAGAAAGTAAAGTGATTTTGCCATTTCTCATAATATGAGCAGAAGGGTATATTGTGAAATGACCAAGTAATTGTCTTGATCTAAACAAAAGGAAGCTGGGGTTTTTTCGCCACACAATGTCTAATTAAGTGGTGAAACTCATTGCCACAGGATGTTGTGGCACAGCCAAAAATATAAATGGATTCAGAAATGGATTAATCAAATTAAGGGATGCTCTTGGTGTCAAACAATGGTCCAGGTGCATCCTTCAGTTCAGGAAGTGCCAAACCTCCTGGTTTCTGGAAGTGAGGAGGGAACGCCAAGGAAAGCTAATTCCATACATGACTTGTTTCTCATGTTCTTTCTCTTAATCTTCTGCTAGTAGGCATGGCTCATGTGGTGTAGGAATTGAGATGAATGTGTTGCCTGTCTTGATTTTTTTTTTTTTTAATCCCCCCATGGAAGTTTGAGTCTCGTACGTTCAGTGATCATCCGTGTGCAGGCTGTAGTTGGATTATACAGGTCTCTATGAGGGCAAGCCTTAACGAGTCTCAGCTAAATACATATACATGAGAGTGTGAGTAGCTCATTTTAAGATGTTTTGATACCAAAGTGTCATAAATTCAAAGATCTCACAGTCTGAGATTCCTTTTCTGATGGAAAAAGAATGAAGTGAGCAGAGTCAGATCTCGGCCCTTTGGAGACACAACAGCACAGGGCCACCAGCTTGGGTTGAGATCCACAGAAACACATGCAGATATCTACACTTGAGTTCCCTGAGCTCCCTGTACAGGTACTTCTGAGGCACAGCTTACCTCCTTCTAAAGTAGACACCTAAAATCAGTGAGACAGATTTTGATCTGAAAGTGTCTCTTTCTCAGTCTTTAATAATGAAGTGCTCTTGGACTGGCTAGTTCAGTATAAATGTAGTTTGCTTCCTGTGAACTGGCTGACTGTCTGTGCCTCTTTCACTTGCTGATCAAATAGAGCCCCAAATTATCCTGCTGTTATGATTTGGTCAAATAATTTTTCTGCTCATCCATGTAAAACTAGATAGTTCTAGTGAGAGATTAAAATCTAACTACATATAATCTGCCTGACGTCACTGGAGCACTTCATTTCCCTTTAAAATGTATTTCACTTTAAACAAAGATAATTTATTTTATGTGTTTATTGCAAAGCAGCATGTAGAGAATTCACAAGGGTAATGTTAAAGGGCAAAGCCCCCTCATGGGTCTGTCATTGTATTAGAGCAGAAGCATCTTTTGATTGTAAAAAAAGAAATGGAGCGATACCTTACATAGTCTATCAGTAAGTACCGTGCCTGGGGTTTTGATAGCAACCACAAATGCTGTTCCTTGGGAGGCAGGCTATACAGCTACTATGAGATTCTCCATTAATAATAGCTATTATGTCAGAATTTGTTGGTCTAATACTTCTTGTGGCAGTCAGTGGGGAAAAACAAGTCAGGAATCTCACATGGACTTTGAAAGCATCTTTTAAAATAGCTGTGACATTTTTTACAAGACATTCTCAGCTTCAGATTTAAGGTTGTAACTTCCTAGAAACCAGCTTCAATACTGAAAATTATATTAGTCCCAGGCTGAGTTGTTTTCTGAGACTGTGCTTAAATGGTGCTGCACCCTTTGCTCCAGAAATTACATCATTTCCAGCAGCAGTTTAGGAGGAATTACGTCAAAAAACTCAACCTCGGCAACTAGCTTTTTTTCCCAAGAAGAGAGACAAATTAGCAACTCAGGAGGATAATAGAGCATGACTATTGTTTAAACTAGGCACATTCAGGTAAATCACTTGCTATCCTGCTTTTGGTTTGGTTTTCTAAAAAGAGCTTGTATGATTCGTTGTCTGACGTTTGCCCATAGTAAGTTTCTGAATGTAGTGGCCAGTTTTGAGGAGGGGTCTCTAGCTGCAGAACAAAGATTCTGTTAATGCCCCGATGATGAGAAACACAAGATGATCTCAACCCTCCTCTGATGCGTTGGCTGGCCTGGAAGCTTGAGGGCTGGCTGCCTAGACTAGGTGAGATGGGAGGAAGCAGAAGATGTAGAGGGAAACCAAGGAACTGCACTTGCGACTCAAGATGTGGGAAGACTGGGACATTGTGGTGGGAAGGCAGAGAAGACAAATTTGTAAGAGAATGAAATTTTAGTTGTCTCATTTGTGGAATTGCCTTTTTAGGTATTTGCATTTCGGATCGAGGTTTTTGTATAAAGCTGTAAATGCTTTATGCAGAGCTTTATGCATGCTCTGTCATGAGTTGAACATAGCCAAGACAAACCGAAACTGTTGGTCAGTAGTTGGAATGTCTGTTCTTCTTTGGTTGTGTGGGAGCAATGTAAAGAAGATACTTTAAGAAGTAACTTGCAAGGGGTGCTTGTCTGCAGGATAAAAATAAAGAGGTATCTCAAGCACTTAAGAACCTGAAAGAAGCTTATAGATACCTGAAGGAGAGAAGAAATTGGAGAGAATAATGAAATAAGGAGAAATGTTAGTAGATTGGGGTAGCTTTTTTTATTATTCTTTTTTTTTTAACCTTTTCAGTTGTGTACAAATTATCTTCCATAGTCTTGTAGGAGTGGTAGGATGGAGAGTCTCGTTTATGAGTTTCTTGATCTGCATGGATTCTATGTCATTTCACAGGATAGCGTTAAAACATTTTGTCCATCCAGAAAATATTAAACTATAAGCTTTGTGCCTCAGAAGAATAGCTTGACTGCAGGGAAAGAGAAGGTATGAGACAGATTGCTGAGCTTATAGGGCCTTTAATAAATGGACAGTTGATAAGTAAAAACAATACAAAAGAACGGGAAGTTCTCATCTATCAGAGCTCACAGTGCCACAGGAAATTGTCCACCATAAACCATTAGGGAAGGTGTTTGTTTTTTGTAAACTTACTGCCACTCTAGACAAACAAATTGCAGGTGGACTTCTTTACACTTACTTATATGTACAATAATGAGGATTATATATTACTTTTGTGTTTATGTAATCTTTGTAGATCACCACTTTTATTTCGTGTAGACAAAACATTCTAAGCAGTGTTTCGCATATTTTGATGGAATAAATCTTGTTCTGTAAATGTAACTGCAGAATCTGTTTTGTCTTTTACTGAGCCCTTTCTTCCTGGCATAATGCAGGGGAGATTCCTTACTGTTCAGGTACTTTTCTGTGAAACCAGTAAGAGTGTCTGGTAAAGGAATCCTCCAGTGATGACCCTTAGTATGTCAAGCAGAGGACTGTGTCCTTCCCAGAGAGCCAGGAGGAAGTCTAGGTCTTCTGTGTAATGCTGGTGTGTGTTCCGCTGTCAATGAAAAAAATGTGTTAAGAAATTTATACTGACTCATTTGTAGCATTTTTTTTAGAAGAAAACATAGGACAGAAAAATCAAGTACAGTATTTTAGATACTTTTCAACATCAGCTCATCAGTCCTGAAAGCCAGAGGTAAATACTAGATGAATGAATCTGGGATTCTTGTAGGTTGTTTTAAACTAAATAATCCGCTACTTCCCCCAGCCAACCAGCTACATAAATAAATGAGACTATATCCAATTCTAGTCCAAATAATCAGCAAGCAGCAGTATGCACAGTGTAGTGCCTGATACCAGAGTGGGCTCTGTGAGCGTGTTGCTGATGTCTGCCAAGCTCAGCTTCCTGACGCGTGGTCTGGGTCCTTGTCTGGTTATCTGCAGCTGGGCAAGGGAGGGAGGCTGCCTCCCAGGGATGGGCATAACTGCATCAGTACAGGGTTCTTCTGCCATGAGAGTGCATATCACGCTTTCCCTTTATTACTGTAGTTTAACGACAAGGTTTCACATTTTGAAAGCTGGGATGGGCTTTATCTAAGTCTGCGTGTAGCAAAGCACCGGAAAAAGTTGGAATAGGTACCGTTTCGAGTTCCCATTTTTACTTGTCTGTAAGTCCCTCACTTGGACTGGGCTAGAAAGGAATATTCTGAGTGTTCTGTGTCTCGGGTTTTTTTGATTGTAGTATTATTTATGAAAGTAGATACTAGCGTGTTTATGGGAAGTAGGCAAAGGTCTAGAGTATCTAGAATTGTGTGGATGCTATTATGGGATACCATACAGACTCCTGCAGATATTGTTGCCTTAGCACTTCTTCTTGCTGAGTTTCTTTTTATTATCTGTAGTTTGCATAGCAGGAAAAAATCCCTTAGAGGTGATCACTGTGTGTACCTGTTAGTCCTGTACGACTTGTGAACTCACTAACAATCTTAACCATCTGTGGTGGGTGACAGAGGTCCCAAAGACACAGTGTTCCTGTGGTCTTCATGAAAATTGACAGCTGGGTAAAGGGACAGCCATAGATGAGAATTTGTGATTTTAATCTTTCTCAGTGTTGAGGAGGAACCGTTGACTAGACTGCTCAGCACAGGGCTAGCTGGTCACACACTCCATTTCCCATCTGCCAAATCAAGCAGGCAGGGTGTCTGAGGAGGTGCTGGGGGAAATAAAGAGACAGAGGGCACAGAGTCACACATAATGAAACTCCATTAATTCTGCTGCTTAGGGCACAACTTGTTCCCTGTGCTTGAAATTAACCAGTGAAAAAATATTTGGACTGTTTACAGTCTGTCACCTAGAAAATTGTGGAAAAGCACTTGGTTCTTTTCCTTGTTGACACATCTGTTAAAATTTTAATAGCATAAGAAAGAGGGGTCATGACATGTTATTATATTATTTTAAACCTCAAATGAATTCAAAACCCTTTTTGTTCAGGGGATCTGTTTAAATTTACATGGTGATAATTCTGTTTGATTTCAGAAGATCCTAGTCCCTGCTGCCAAGCTCTCCATTTTTAAACTTTATTAAGAGCTGATTACACAATTTCTTTGCCTTTTTAAACTGTGATATAGAGCCTGTATTAGTCAAAGTTGCAAAACTTGGGAAGCTGTCAAAATGCAAAAGGATTTTTCCTCCCTATTTCTGCTTTTTAAGACTAAGAAATATTTCATTACGTAAACAAGGATACAAGTCCTGTCATTCATAATGAATCTGTTTAATAAATGGTATTTTCTATTGCTTGAGAAAAGATAGTGATGCAGTTTAGTTCAACACTAATGAAAACTAAATAAAATGCAAAGCTTTTTTTAAAAAGACAGTATGATTAGAAAACATGTTTTCAGTAGTGGATATGTTTTTTCTTAGGGAAGATTAGTATTGTTATTTTCCAGCATATTAATCTTGAGAATTTAAACAATATTTGAAGTACATGCTGTTCACATCGGCAATATTCTTATTTCTAAAAATACAGAGCTAACGATACAGGTCAAACCTGAAATAAGTGCCAAATCCTTTCAGATATTTGGGGTTTTTACTACGAATACAGTTTTTTCATGCGATTCTCAGTAAGAATGTCTGCTCATGACTGCTACATCTCTGATGAGATTTACATGCTGGAAGAAAAGTAGGTAGATTCTGAATAGCACCTATCTATTTCACAGATTATTAGAAGTATAATTTTAAAAATAATTGAGAACGTTTATCCTTCTTTATTCACAAACATATAATTCCCAAGAACATTAAAACATTCTTGATCCATAAATTGGTAGGAGGGTATAACTCCAATTCCTGTTGATTTGGGGAGTTTGTTTTCTGTGGTGTTCTTAGGAATTTGTTTCAGTGCTGGCTTTAGTTGTCCTTTGCTAGGTGTTTTGGCTGTTGATGTTCTAGCTTCTTGCACCAACAGGCTGACCCTTGCCGTAGTGGAGGGGTATGTCGTCTTCTACCAGTTTTTTGGCAGTGGTTGGAGGAAGGCATTGCCACTAAACAATTTTCACAGACCTTCTATGTCTTTGAACATTTCTTGGACAGAGATTACTTGTTTTGTGAAACAGCATGACATCTTATACAGCTTTTGAGGTACACATGTAATTGAAATAGTGTCCTTAAACTCACCTCCATTTTCATATAAAAATATATATGTTGAGATACTGTAATATTTAGCTCATGGAAAAGGCTGGTTCATTGTATGTTTGTGAATGAACTTTTTCTTGCTTACAGAAGAATACTATTGAAGTGAAAGACTGACTTATGTAATGGGACTATTGTGTAGTTAGTTGTTAGAATGGTAGAAAAATAACGTGAGCTGTGTCAATGTAATTAATTTATTGCTGCAATGTTTCCTCCTCGTAGCCATCTGTTGGTGAAAGTCTTCAGAAAGAAGCATTGAAAAAACAAGCAATGAAACAGGTAAGATGTGGTGGGGACTCTATGCCCATGGCAGATTAAGAAATTACTGCATCCATTCTTTTTTATTAAATAATTGCAGAAACATAATTGTGCAACTTCAGAGTGGAAGTTACCCTTAAAAAAATTCCACGTATCTATGATTTTGTGCATTGCCCTTTGCAGCACAAGAACTTTCTTTAAAACTTGGCTTGAAATTCTCAGAGCCTTTCCTCTAGCAAAGATTTTGTTTCACTTTTCTGGGGAAAATTGTTCTTTTTGAAATTATTCTGGCTATCAGAGTAAATGAAGAACTGCCCGATTAAAGCTGCATGACTGGTGTTTAACAAAGAGCTGGTCGTAATTTAAAACAATAAAATTTCCGTTTACTCAATGCAACCGCTTTAAATGAAGTTTGTTTTGTGGCACAGAATGCATTGATATTTTTAGAATTTCTCAATCTGTTTTGTTTGTAGAATGTAATATTTCAAAGTATTGGTTTTTAAAATATTTAAATATATACCAACAGTGAGCTTTTTACTGTAATCGAGGAATAAATTGTACAGAGGAGACATGAATTTTACATTTTGAAAAGTTCTAGACCAATAAAAGACATAGCTAGAAGAAAAAATATTTATGCATCATACACATTGCTGTTTTCTGGTGGGGGTAATATGTGCTTGAGAGAAACTTGTATGGTTGCAGTTCAGCATTCCTCTTCTGTTGTCAGGAGATGTGATCTAAGGGTGTTTTTCTGATAGGGCTTTTTTAAAAAACTGAATGGTTTCACAGTTCTTACTTCCAATTTGATTGTACAGACAGAAGATTAAACTGTGAAATATGGAGTGATATCCTGCATTATATTGATACATATTTATTATTTGGAGCTTTGAGGAAGGGGGATAAACTATAGATGAAAACACACAGTAAAATTTATTGAAATGTTGTTTACTGTTTATTAAAAAAAAATTGTGTTATTGGATGGAACAGTTTGCTCATTAAGAAATTACCAGTATTGTTTTGACTGTTGTGCTTTGCTTTCTACATTTCCTATAACTGCAAATACTGGTGATGATTTGGTTGTTCGTCTTCTCAATCCTGGTAAACATTTCAAGAACTTTGTAGATCAGACTTTTTTTAATTTACACTGAATGTTTTAATGGATAGGTTTATACTATAGATCTGTTTAAATTACAGTATAGGAATGAAATGCGTGAAAATAGTAAAAATGTCATGGTTGATTTTTTTGTATCTTCTTCTCCCCCCTTTTTTTCTTCTAGACTAAATTGGAAATTCAGAAGGCTTTGGAGGAAGATGCTACAGTGTACGAATATGACAGTATTTATGATGAAATGCAGAAAAAGAAGAAAGAAAGTAATGCCAGTATGTTATCTGGAAAAGATGACAAAAAGGTCGATACCTGAAAACTTATGCTGTCTGTCTTATCTCTCTATGCTTGGAAAACTTATGATCGATAAACTTTTAAGCTTTGCCAAATTCTTTTTCCAATGGGGCATGCAAGTATTGTGCTTAAATCCTGTTGCATGAGGTAGTAGTTTGCAAGAATTTTGGCAAAACTGTTAGCTCATCAGATACTTCAGAGTCCTGATCAAGTGGTATTCTGGAGGGTGACAGGTGACAAGTTTCCTGCCCGATTTATGATGTACAGATAGCATATCTGTCTCTGTATTTCTGAAGAGAATGTTACGGTGGGATGATAATAGGATTAGAGGCAATGGGCCCTGCAACAGTACTACTTCTGGTAATAGAGACCCTTTTGTTATTAAGCAATGAACATAAACCGTCCCTCCTCACTCACTAGTGTGTTTACTGGAGGACTGTCAGAAGACTAAAGTAATTAACTCTCATTGGTGAAATGTGGCCAATTTCCACAGTCCACTGCCTTGATTCAAAGCATTGCTGAATTATCCTAACAAGTGATATTTTCATTGTTACTTATTCTGTTCATTTGAAAGCTTTTGTCAGGTTATGTGGGTATAAGAGGAAGCTTCACACTCCTTTACAGTAGTAAAAGGCAGTTAGAAAACAGAAGGCAGAGGGGTGAGAAATCAAAAAGCCTTTAATTTCACTCAGAGCAAAAATCATCCTAGTCAAAGATTAGGGCGGAATGTTTTGCTTGACTACACCAACCTCTTTTGTGATTGGGAAGCGTGCCATGTTAGGATCTAAAAGGGAATGACAGTTTATTTCAGAGAGCTATCAAACAGTGTGACAATATGTTAGACTAGCTTCTGTCCATTTTCTTCCATCACCAACTTTCTTCAACATGTCCATCAATCCCAGTCTATGTTTTCTCAGCCACCTCAGTAACCTGTCAGTATAATACCTTTTCTCCTTCCTATTTTAGCCCAGATACATCCAGAATATCCTCAAAGCAGCTGAGATTAGAAAGAAGGAGCAAGAAAAAAGAATGGAAAGAAAAATACAGAAAGAGCGTGAAATGGAAGGAGAACAGTTTGCTCACAAAGAGGCTTTTGTGACCTCAGCCTATAAGAAGAAGCTACAAGAAAGGGCTGAGGAGGAGGAAAGAGAAAGAAGAGTGGCAGCTCTCGAGGGTGAGATTTACACTGAAATAATTCCTCTTGAAAAGAATGGCCTTGTACATGCATGACAACATTGTCATCTGGTCTCTCTGTGAGGCTTGAGATAATTAAAATCAAAAAGGACCAGATAGCAGATACTGAATCAAATCCCACTTTGTCTGTTATTTTCCTTTGTACATGTAAGTAAAGGAACAGAGGAAGCTCCTCTGTTTGTCTATCAGTACTATTTGGGTTGCTACTTTTAATTTTTGAGGAAGGGTCATTTGTTGAAGGAACACTTGTAAGCCCGAGGTACAGTGATGCTTACACTCCTTACCTCAGACATTCTGTACAGCGTCCCAAGAATAGGTGTAAAGAACAGGATGTAGCATCATAAGATGCATCAGGTTGGAGTGGACCTCTGAAAGTCATCTGTTCCAGCCGCCTGCTCAAAGTGTGGTCTGCTCTGAGGTCAAGTCAGATGGCTCAGAGCTTTTTCTGCTCTGGGCTTGAAAATCTCAAGGATGGAGATTGCAGTCTTGGTGGTATCCACCAGTTGTGAGTTGTGTCTGGTGAGTATTTGTGGCACAGTAAATCCAACCTTACTTTCTTTCTCTTAGCATACCTGGATGTGACCAAACAGAAGGATCTCAGTGGATTTTACAGACATCTTTTAAACCAGAGAGTAGGGGAAGAAGAGATGCCTAAATGCAGCTTCCCTGAAGCCAGGTAGGATGTGATTCCAGAAGTTTTTCAGATATAAACCAGCTTCTGGCTGTTTGTGATTCCAGCCTCACTGGAACACTGTAAAAATTAAGACAGAGTACTAAAACACTGGTAGGGTAAGCAGGTTCCTTTATACAGATGATTCAACTGAATTATTTGGAAAATGTCTAAGGGTCATCAGTGTATAGACTACAAGACAGAAACAAGCAGGAGAGGGATGCTGTTTAAAAAGTGTCAAGAGTAGTCATACCGGTAATACTACTTGATATTATTCTAGACTATATTTACTTTGGTCTACATAATATTTGACTATCTGCACTGTTACATATTTTGAATCATGAGGGAGACAAAAGGTAAAATGATGAGCATAGAGGTAAATCATAGGAAATGATGCTGTGATACGAATTTCCTGAAAAGAATGTGTCTTCCTTTGTATTTATTCCATGTTTACAGGTTCATAAAAAATAGAGTATTGATGCTATGCTAAAAGGAAATGAATCAAATATATAGGAAATTAAGTAGGAATATTTTAAAATCCTAATACAGGCACATTCCAAATCAAAGTAATGAGATGAGACTGAATTACTTATGTAGCTGAGATGGTGAAATTCTGCCCTGTGAATAAATATGGTGAAGAGGATATGTTTATTATATGCAACAACTGATCATTTGCAACAATTAATTCAGGTTAAACCTCACTTGAGATAGACCTTATACCTGGATGTCATTAGTTAAATGCTTGCCATCACAAAGAAAATGCAGCTTTCATCAGGAGATCTTGCAGATCTGAGATTGGATTATTAGAAAGTAAATTCTTAGCTTAAATAAATAATGTGATCACAGTTAATTTATTCAGCTGTCTGAAATAAGGATATTCTTGATTATATCTGTAGTATAATGATATGCCACCTTGTTGGAAATAAGTAGGGCAAAGTAGTGTAAAAGAAATAGGAAGTAAGAATTACTGGCTGGAATAAAATCAGAACAGCTTCCTGAATATAAGCAGGCAATGGGAAATTTGAGGCCACAGTTTTGTCATTTGAGACTTAAAGTATTAATGCACCTCTGTGTCTGGAAAAACATCCTCTCTTAGGCTTTCACCAAAGAGAAATACCTGCTTGGTTTCAGTGGTGCACAACGATTGCTACTGAGGTGGTTAAATGAATTATGCACTTTACGGTTTCTTCTTTTTATCAATGACATCTAAGTTACTCAGTTGCATCTCTATAAAAACAGTAGCAGTAGTGGTCAGCCCACTTGGTTGTCCATTTGCTTTCATAATTCTTTCAGAGCATCTTCAGGATGATGTGGTTTTGTACTGTACAGAGATCATTTGAAATGATGGTTTCTTAATCTTGCAAATTAAATAAATGTTTCTTTTGCAAGTTGTATGTAAAATTGATGCAGGGGAAAACAAGTAGTACTGTAGATGGTGCTCCCAGCAGGGCTTTCAAAGCAGCTCAGGTGTATATTTTAACTTTATTCTTTCTTATGGTGGTACAATAGGATACAGAGAGAAAACGGGTCAGTTTTTAGCTCTCAGAATTCACATTGCGTGTCCCTAAATTAATCCACCTTTGACTTGTCATTTTAATTAATTGGATTACTAAATAAATGATCAAAATGTTCATCATAATTTTTAGCCTTTTTTCATAGACTAACCATGCTTTCAAGCATGCATCAAACATTCAGTCTAACTAGATGATGTGCTGATTCCTGAGAAGTTACCACACTGTTACTGTAGCTGTGTGATTAAAATGAAAAGGCATGTGGCTTATGTGAGTAAACATCTATTTCCTTACCGGTCAGAAAAAAATAACAAAGCATAGAGGAATAAACACGTAGGAAAAAATGTGTAGCTTGCCAAAAATCTTACACAAGAAATATGTCTTTTTTCCTTAGATGGAAGCTACAGATACTTAACCATAGTCATTCTTTAGATAAATTCATCTGCTTGCATTCACCAATGAACCAGATACAGATAAATAGAAATCGTTTGCACTGGATACCTGGAACCTGAGCCACAGATAGAGTTGCTTTCTTAGACTTCTCAGCAGCATCTTTTGCTTAAGTCCTGACCAGAAGAAGTCAGTTTGTAGAAAAGTCTGACATTTCAGGCTGTGTAATGTTGTTTTCTCTTTTTTAACATAAAAAATGTAGGATAAAGGAAGAGAAATCTGACAGTTGTTATGATGAGTCCAACCAAAGGAATAAATGCCCATATGAACGACAAAGACTGAAGCCCTCTGCTAAGAAAGAGAATAATCCAGATGCTGATACCGACTTAGGAACTGATAGTAGTGATGATGATAAGAGGCACAAAAATAGTAAAGTAGATTTGAAAAAGAAGATAAAAAGAGAGAGCTCTGTGAGCAGTGAAGAGGAGGCTAAACATCACAAGAGACAGAGGCATTCCAGGTCACCAAGCTCATCCAGTGTGGAGGAAGAGCTGCGCGCAAAAGCCCGAACAAATCATCTTACAAAGAGGGGGGAGAGTAGACCAAGCAGAAGGGGAAATGATGAACAATCCAGGGAAAAAGATTATGAGAGAAGTAGGACCCATGAAAAGGATCATCAAAGGGAAAAGGAAGAGCGACATAGGTACGGGGATCACACTAGTAAAGATTACTACAGACGGAGGGAAGAGCAAGACGATAAACAAAGGGGGAAGGAAAGAAAAGAGAGGGAGGGACATGGCAGAGAGTGGAGGAGGGCAAAGGACAGAGAAGAGAAGGGCTCAGAAAAGGAACGAGAGAAAGAAAGAATAAGAAATAGTAAAGATAGGTATAATGACAGGGAGAAAGATAGAGGAGAGAAATGCAGAGAGAAGGAAGATCATGGGAAGGACAGGAGAGAGAAATATGGTGGAGATGAAAAGAAATACAGAGAGAGGAGGGAAAGTACTCCTGCACCTTTAGAAAAAGATGGAGAGTCTGATCTGGAAAAAGAGAGAAAGAAAAAAGAGAGAGAGGTGGATGAAAAGGGAAGATCCAGCTCTGGAATTCTGTCTGAGCAGAAACGTAACGCTGGAGAAGGGGAGAAAGAACAAGCACAAAAACCATCTGAGAGCATGAGCAAATTTGCCAAACGGAGCAATGAAGAGACAGTCATGTCAGCAAGGGACCGCTATTTGGCAAGGCAGATGGCACGTGTTGGCACTAAATCTTACATTGAGAAGGAAGAAGATTAATGTCTCTGTGGTGGACAAAAACACTTGGTCTGTCGACTAAGAGGAAAAGGCACTGCAGCATGGACTCTTGTACAGAAATAAAAGTGTATCCTAGCTATTTATTCCTGGCTTTCATTTAAGAAATTGTGTGTGCCATAATAGAAGAACATTTGAAATGGATTAATGGATCACTTGATAGACACCTTTAGTCTGTTTATACAGTTATAATATTAAATTTGGATGACTCTGTCCACCCTGGCCTTCAGTACTCTGTCCTTGGTACCTGCAGATTCTGGGACAGACCTAGGAGTGTGTCGTGTCCTGACCATAGAGGAAGGGACTAACGAGAGGTTCTTTAGCATTGATACTTTGGGGGGAATTAAGGTGAAATGATACCAAATGGTCAAACTTTATACGAATTTATTGATTACGCATTTGAATCACCTGAGGAGTTAATTTTCTGGCAATAAAGCAAAGCAATTACCCTTTGTGTCGGAGGTTACAAAAAGGGAAGAAGAGAGGAAAATAAGAAAGGAAGAGTTCAGCACCCTGCATATGAGTCAGTATAAATATGTACTGGTTTGCTAGCGTCTGCTTCTCTAGTGAACACACTCCATCAGTTCCCCTACCTGTGCACTGCCTTCTCCTTCAGTTACAATCTTTTCTCTGGCATTGACTTGCCATGCTACTGCTTTGTATTTCCACACCTTGTTTTCTCTTCATGAGAATGCGTCAGTAAACCAGACCTTTCTTTATTCAGGGTTATATGGGGGAGCAACAGAGATGTAACGTAGAGAAGGAGTAGTGTCAAGGGCAATGTTGGATGAATCTTGAATCGGAAGGCTTCGAGGAGCTCCCTCTACTACCTGTTGAGTATTACAGTAGTGCTCAAGCTGGGCATACCACTTCCTTACTGTCTCTCTTTGGGCAGCCCCCACTGGAGATGATGTTCCATCTAGAACAAGTACCTTAGATGACCCTCTGAGAATGATGGATTGTTGCCGAATAATTTTTTTTGGCCTCTTGCAAGGCTAAGCAGGCTACAAAGGCCTTTCTCCCAGAAGGAATATTGCTTCTTGCATCCTTGAAGCTACGTGAGAAGAATGCAATAGGCCTGGTGGGGCCTTCTGGACCTCGCTGCCACATGTGAATAGAAATACCATGAATGGAGAAACCCCAGTCGATCTGCAAAGGGTCAGAGGGATGGATGGGGCCCAGCACCTGCTGCACACTTACCTCAAAAATCAATAATTTCAGGGCTTCCTCGTGGGTGCGAGTCCATTCCCAGGATGCTCGCTTTCTAGTGAAATCATAAAGTGGGCTATTATTGACAAGTCAGGGATATGCTTCCTCTAGAATACTAACAACTCAGGGGCATGTTGCAATTCTTTTTTGTTTTGGGGAATTTTAACCTGTTCCAGGGTGGTAAGGGTATCTGGGGGAATGCAAATTGTCCTTCCCTTCCACCATATCCCCAAGAAGCTTTAGTGCAGTGGATGGGCCTTGTACCTTTTCTGGAGGAGTCTGAAGACCTAAGCTTTCTAAATGAGTGGAAAGGGCTGGTTTAGTTTGTCCTACTGCTTCTATACTAGACCCTCCAATCGAGATATCATCTATATATTGATAGATCTTAGTGCCTTCATAGGGGCTAACCTGAGTTAGCTCCTGGGCTAGTGCTTGGTGAGCTAAAATGAGAGAGTGGCGATAGCCCTGCGGTAGTCGTGTAGAGGTGTATTGTGTTCCTTCCCACATAAAGGCAAAATGCTTTCTATCCTCTCTCAAAGGCACCTTAAAAAAAATATATCCTTGGTACTGACTGTGGTGAGGATAGAGTGGGTGGGGGTGTTCTTGGATGGTGGCAAGTCACTGCAATGTCAGAGTGGAGTGGTAGCTGTGTTTAAGTGGCAATAGTCCACAGTCAATTGGCGCTTTCCAGACAGGAGAATTATAGGGAGAATGGGTACAGGTGATAATTCCTTGCTCCTTCAGATGAGTTATTACCAGGGAAATTCTCTCCTGTGCTCCTGACGGTAGTGGATATGGCTTGCTGTTTACAATTTTAAATGGAGGTAAGAGCGGGGCTCTTTGCAACAACCGAAAAGACAGAGCTGGCAGTCCAAACACCCATCGTCTGTCCTCTGTGTCTAACCAGGCACTCCCTTTTAACAGATCCAGTCCTAAAATATTTGTGGGGAGATGACCTATAATCATGGTGGTCTCTATTGGATTATCATCCCCTGGGAGCCCACACTTTACTTGAGCAGTTTGCTGGGGATGAGTATTTCCAAAAATGTCAGTGACCCAAATCTGCTTTTTATAGGGACAGATACCATTTCCGTCAGCTTCTTCCCTCCTTAGGGCAGAGATTTGGTCACCTCTATCAACTAAGAAAGTAATCGGGGTCTTCAGTGGCCCAAGGGGAAATGTTATTAATAGGTCACCCTTTTTATTCTCAGGGAGCCTTCTCAAATAGACCCATTGGCCGTCCTCTGGCTCACTTATTGAGGACGGTGAAACGAGTTTCCCAACTGTACGGGAGGGGGAATGTGGGGATCTCTAACGGGGAGCGCTAACAGAAGGTTTATTCTGGGGAGATGTACTTTCTGTCATAGGAATGCCTCTTCTAGTTCCCTCCATCCATAAGGAGTACTGGTTTCCCTCTGGGGATACAGGTCAACCAGGGTGGACAGGACCTCCTGAGTGGGGACAATTAACTATTCTTAACTGCTGGATGGTGTTCCAGCCTCGAGGTGCTTCTGCTGGAGTGGGAGTGAGGTTAGAGGTGATACCTAGCTGCCTTCCATAATTAATTCATGAGCCACCTCTCCCCAGGTAAGGTCAGTGGGACTTCCCCTGCTACGGGGATGGGGCAATCCTATCTTGGAGTTGGACTGCTTATAATTTCAGTGCATCTGAGAGACTGTGAATTAGGGGGTGTAATCTCTCAGGGTCTGCCATGTACTGCATATAGGAGAGGGGCGTTGGGGCATTGATAGCCAATCATCCATAAGCTAGATGCAGGCAGACTTCTGTACACTTCCTAAAACATGTCTTAGAATAGGGATTTTTATTAAATAGGGGTCACCTTGTTCCATAGGATCTAATTTGCCAGCCCAGTAGGCCACCCTCTGGGTCAGGGACCACAGTTCCTGACCATCACCTGTAGTAAGAAACACTGCCAGGCCCCAGCAGCATCTTCACTAACTAAAATGCAATCTGCCCCAGTAAGCAACACCCTCCAAACATTCTAACACCAAGTGGTCAAACTTTATACAAATTTATTGATTACACATTTGAATCACCTGAGGAGTTAATTTTCTGGCAATAAGGCAAAGCAATTTCTCTTTGTGCCTGAGGTTATGAAAAGGAGAGAAAGGAAAAAGAGAGGTGGGAGGGGAGAGAGAGTTCACTACCGTGGGATCCGGTGATGTCCTGTGCAGTTGGGTCTTCCAAGGGTGGTGAGTGCACACACAGCTATGCAAAACCTGAGTGTTTAAGCACAGAAGTCTCTGCCCTATCTCCTCTCTCATGTTATCATAGGGAGGAGTTGCCATTGTGAAAACAGTCAGCTGCCAGGAGTCTTGCATCACACACTCAGCTCGTGTTCCAAGAGGCCTGGGTATGCACAGACCAAACTGGGGCTTGTGGGATGGCAGGAGCCCCTACACCTTTCACCAGCTGAAACAGTCAGCTCTGTTGAAACAAAGGTGTTCTTGGGCCTTAGCAGCACTTGTTGTCTGCTGATGCTCTCAAAAATGAAAAACAGACCTGTAAAAGTGGGAAGAAAGCAAGAAAAACAGTCTAATAATGTAGGAGATTTCTGTACATAGTATGGTGTTTTGTAAGCTAAATTTGCATTGATATATGAATTTTGTATTTATGTGTGGGCTCTGGTTTTGGGGACCTGTGTACGGAAACAGAAATGAGGTGTAAGATACGTACTGGATCTAATGTGTGGGTCTTTTTTAATGCTTGTGTTGTTTTACTGCATCTTTTTTTTGGTGAGAAATAAGTTATACAAGTCTCTACATGTTTTAGTCATATCTGCTTGGTGTACTGGAGGTCATGTTTTAGATTTGTCAGTCTGCCTGTTCAAAGTTTCATAAGAATAAAGTTATCTCCAAACTGTAACTTGGTAAGTAGGATAACCAACAGTGACTGTAGTTTTTGGGATACATACTTATCACAACAGTTTCTTTCACTTTGTTTTGTAGTAAACATATTACTTTATGCTACAGTAGAGTGAATATTAAAAAAAAAAAAGTTTTTGAGGTTGGTGTTTCTCTAATAGTTTGTTCAGCAGACTTAGTAATGAGACAAAATTTGATTAAAATTAAATGCCGAGCCTGCTAGTTTACAGAGACTTGAAGTGAGTTTTGTATGTCAGCTATCAAGTAGCTAAGCACTTAGTCCAAGTGTGGATCAGTTTGGTTTTGCTGTTCTGTCTAGACAAATGTAATGTGCATTGGTTCTTCTGTTGGAATGGAATGAAAGAGTATTTAGCAGTGGGCCAAGGTTCAAACGCTGAAGGAAATCCTCTGCTTTTTGTCAGAGGCCTTGTTGGGATAGTAAACTGGATTAGATACTTTGCTTTTTCTTGGGATTGAGTTTTATCTTTGTTCTTATCATAAGAGAGAGGCACAAGAGACATCTACATCTGGATTATGAATATTAAATTTATTACAATAACAGTTTACAGTACAAGGCACATACTGATGACTTACAATCAGCTTGCAACACTTGTAACTAAACAGCTGCATAAATTAATAACAGGTGCATCATGTACAAGTTGGAGGGAATACTTAGTTCTGTACAGCTAAAACTCTAGCTTAATTCTCTTTGCTTAAAAGGCAAACATGGTCAAAATTTACCAGTTTCAGAATTTCCTCTTCACTGTTCAGATTAGAGGGTAGGATAGACTCACGTGATAGATCAGCAGAAGGTGAACTGAAGAGAAGGAGTTTGTTTGCCTTGCAGTGCAGCCCGTTTGGTATCAATATAACTATTTTTTGTACAAAAACAATGTTTAATGTACAGCTACCTGTTGAGCTACCTGATAAGTATCAGTTACTCTAACTGTTTTCAGATTGGATATGTAAAAGGAAGAAAAAAGAGTTACAAAAATAAATGAAATCAATTTCTCAATATTTCAACCACTTAGCTAAATAGAGACACTAAGAAAGAAACTTAGCATAAGAAGATTTAGAAGACTTCAAACCAGGATACTATGTAACAAAAAAATAATGAGAACTAAACTGCCTTGTAAGTTCAGCTTATACAGAATGAAAACATGGATGTATTTTATCTTTGTATTAAGAAAAGCCTTTTTCATTCACTTCTGGAGGGCTTCCTTGCCCCCTGTTCCCATAAAAACCTCACACTGGATTATCCTAGTGAAAAGAGAACAAAGATCTAACATCACAAATTATCTTCTGGAATCCATAAATGTTTTTCCTGTGACTTGGCACATCTACATACTTTCACTCTCTCTCAGTACATCTGTACTCAGTGCATTATTCTCATTTTTCAACTGGGAAATTCAAGCTGAGAGACCTTGCCCTATTTTACACTGCGAATCTTGCAGGGCTTGTATTAATATCAGGGCTTCTTGGCTGACTTTTAAGCCACTAGAAAACAGTGACATTTCTTGGGAAGTTTTTCAACATTCTGTGCTAAAACCACCCAGAAATACAATGTCTGTCATATATTAGTGTCTTAAAAAACACAAGTAAAGATGCATCTTTTGCCATTTCAAATACTGTTATAAAAGAACAACATCAGTAGCATTGCACACTAAATAGCAGTGATTTCTGCAATTATTACTCTCAAATTATTCAATTAGAAACAACATTCTCAGTTTCAGTTTGTTTCTAAGGGCTGAAAGAGAAACTTTGGCTTTGATACAGATAATGCTCATATTTAACGTAAATATTTCTGTCCCCACCATTAGCCTTCCTAATAAAATGACCAAACTTCCTAACATAAATGACCAAAAATTGGAACTGTAAGTTTTGGGTTGGTTTTGCAGAGGGGTGGGTTGGGTTTTTTTAATGAGTCTGGCACGAAATTTTATCTGTAAGATTTATCTAAATACTTACACATTTAGGAGGAAGAATACCCAGCAGTAGTTGAACACCAGCCTGAAGAATGAAAAAGCTGGGTAGGGTTTTCTCCTTCATTTCTCACACTTGATACTGGATACACATGTATACCTCATTCATCTTACATTGGCTTTTCATATGTATTTTTTTAATTAATTCATAAAGAAAATTCTGTTCTTAACAAAATTCAGTAATTTTCTGATTGGTAACTTAATGACTTCACAATATTAAATGAATTTCCAGACCATTCCTCTTTTCCTCACGATGAAGCCAGTTTTTGAAGTACTTTTCAAATATACTTAGGGGCTAAGCTAAAACTATTTCTAAGGAGTAACTGTTGAGTAAGACAGACTTACTATGTTTTTCCTGGTGGCAATGAAAGAACATATTCCCTTTTTTAAAAACAGTTTAGGAGTCTTTTTGTTTGTAGTTCCAAAAGAACAGCCCTTGTCCCTTTATTTCCTTCTTGGAAGTTGGGCCTGAGACCAAAAGTTAAGTGAATTCAAGTCAATAGCTGAAGTGTAACAGGTGTCTGCACACCTAAGGGAGAACCATCCTTTGCGGAAGCAATGAAAATGCTTTGAAAAAGCAAACACACCATCACTGCCTTCCTCTCGTATGGCAAGTTCTTCCTACCAATGTAAACTCTTCAGTAGGTTTCTTAGTGCTTGCTGCTATGAATGCATATATAACCTTGTGAATTTAGCAGTACGTTGCCTAAGTAGACTGTGAGATACAAGAGACTTTTATCCTCTCCTTTATTTTGTTATAATCTATGTGGTTTTTACCACATGATGCCTACTTAGGTTTAGATAAACTTCCACCTAACTGCAGCAGAACTATTCTCCAACTGACTTCGGGCAAGTGCAGTCAGTCTGAAGGGCAGTCACCTTTGGAGAGCATGTGTATGCATATAATAAAGAGGTTAGTATGTGCATGGAAGTTAATTTGCATATCAGTGCCTTGCAATTTAATATAAATAGTTCTGATGAGAATCAGTCCTGCTGAACTCCACTCAACTTCTTGTTAAAAAAAAATTAATCCTTTTTTTCTTCAGGGTGAAAATCAAATGTGTTCACATTAGAATATAAGCTAATAAATCTTGGAAGTAGGTTTGTACAGTTAAATGTACTTTTGTCAGCCAGCCAAAAGGATTATTCTAAACTTTAGTTCTGTACTAAGAAAGAATAGAAGAAGCAACAGACTCCAGCAGATTTTAGTTGCAAAATTAAATTTAAAAAAAACGACCAAACAAACAAAAAAACCCAACAACAAAGCAGATCTTTCTACTTTTTGGCATCAGAACTCAAAAAAATTCACTGTTGGTCTGTAGTTTCTGTAGGTGTGGGTGTTAGATCTGTCAGGACAATGATTCTGTGAATGGCTTAGTTAGGGAAACAGTGTAGTAAGTGCTGGCCACTTAGGTACTTGTCAAGTAAGCTGTGATGAGTTTTTGTGGCTTAATGGGGTCTAAAGGAAACTGAAGCCTACAACGTTATAAAAAAATGCTTCTGTAGTATTTGTTATGCAAGAAACAATTAACAAAACTTTTATCCTCTACAAAATGCAGGAAATGAAAATGTCTGTGCCTATGTATGCAGAGCTGTATATAGTGCTGCTCAGGATTGTTTCCTCTTCCTCTGTCTACTCCACTACAAACCTAGGGAATTTACTATTTTTTTTTTTTCCTAGTTTATAAAACCCTGTGTTACTTAAGTAATGTATGGCTATCAGAAATATTTCGGTATTTTTCAATGTAGTTTAAGCAATTAGAACCTTAGAAGCGAATACGACATTGCCCAGTACGAACAATCACATTGAGGAAGATAACAGGAGTACTGCCACAGACTTGGGGTTCTACACCTAATCCTACCCGCTGGTACTCGTCCTACAGTGGCTTATGCAATCATGCACACTTTCAGACAGCCCCAGCACCCACGCGTGGAGTCGTGGTATTCTCATGCACACAGACGTCCTCGTGTTTCCAGAATGAATTAGTTCTCGAGTCAGTTCAGTCTGGTTTGAAGTGCACAGTAGATTTCATTGAATTGCTTGGATAAATGTGCTGGAGGCATTATGTTTCCAAACGCCTGTTGTCAGTGACACAACCTCCACAGAAAACTCCTCCATTTGTTGTCTCAGCTGGAAATGTAATTCTTTGCAGGGAGAGAGGATGGGGAAAATTACATTTTATGCTCCCCCTCTCACCCCCCAGAAAACAGGTTAGCTTATACTGCATTCATGCGGATGTCTCCAAAAGGAATTTCTGTAGCTGTTTCTGGAGTAATGCTTTTCAGAATACGCTGTTGGAAAGAAATCAACGTTAGAAATCGATTCATTTTAGAGATAATAGATAACCTGACAGACATTTAGAAAGAGATTTATAATAAAAACATGACTGGTTTGAATTATACCTCTTGAACCACACTAGGATGTTTCAGACTTCTGTTATCTCAGCACTATGAAGATGGAAGGTGCTACAGAAGTGCACAGCATTATTTTTTAATTGTAACACATAATTTGAATCAAAGTTTGACAGATGTCCTATTAATGCTTTTGGACATTGCAGTTTACTTGCATACCCTGAGCCAACTGAACATAATCTTTCTGAACTGAAAGAACTTACAAGAAATCCCAAAAATGTCATCACAGGCTGCCACAGATTTATGGCAGAGAAATCTTAAGTGTGGGAGAGAAAAAGAAACTTGTTCTTAGAGATATATGCAAGGGAATCAATCTTTCACTGCCTCATTCATCTGTGATTTCTAGGAAAAACCTCCAGTTCACCAGAGCTTAAAAAACCCCTTTGATTTAATATTTGATAGGAATATGTCAACAGCCTCAGTAAGACCTGCGGACATTTGCGAGTCACTCAGAATAGGCAGAAGACAATTAGCTATCAGCTGGCTAGGAACAGAACAGCAAGAATCCTCAAGTCCTGGGACATCAGACCCTAGGCAAATCTACACATAATATTTCTAAGAATCACCTCCTTCCCAACAGTCAGATAGACACAACAGAACATTGTGGATACCTCCTTAAGTGTTCCTGGAGTGACAATCAATCGATAAGCCATGTAGATTGGAATACAGATGATAGAAGAGGTTCCTATGCAATAACCCACTACTGTGGTCCAGTAGGGATAATTATAATCAAAAAGCCGTAGCTCGGGAGGATTGGACAGAAAGCTGCAAGTGACAAACTGAAAAAGAAAACAGCAAAGTATGAATACATGTATTTTGGTGGCACACATCTACTTTAGGAAACCCTGTGCCCCAACACTGAACTAAAAAGAGTAGGATTCAAGGAGGATTAAACATATGTCGACACTGAAAAAATCCTAAATGACATTAGTATGGATTTTTTAAAATACATTATAAAAAACAAACAAACCAAACCAAAAGCACTTGTGGATATCCAGACTTTCCTTCAGGAAGTTTAAGCTTTAGAGCATAGCCCAACCAGTAACAGAGGAGCTAGGTATAAAAATTCTCATATGGACTGCTTGTTCCATAAATACACATGGTGGTGGTTCTTGCTTAAGAAGCATTAGAGAGAAAATTCAGGACCACACCTGTACATTTAAAGGATAAAAAGATGTTAGATGGACAAAATCAGATTGATTGGTACCAGTGTGCAGAATTTCATCCAGTTACTCTTGTACTGACTCTTATAACCTGATTGTGGCTAAGGCATCCCTCCCAGAAAGGCTTCATCTTGATTTTAAGCCACCAGAAATGGGAAGGATACACTTTCCCTTAGCTGTTTGTCCCATATTTAATCATAATCAGTGTCAGTTCTGCTTGGTCTGAATTTAACTCACAGTCACTATGTTGTTGTTTTATGCTGTTCTTTATTGGGTTGTAGACCCTTTTAATACTCTTCCAAATACTGTTAAAGTACTTATGTGTGTTAATCACATCAGCTTCCAGCTTTCTCTGTGATAAGCTATACAGATTCTATTTTTTTCAGTTTTATTTTCTACAAATTTTATCTTTTCTATAATACTTTTCCATAGCATTTCAGATCTTCGGTAGCTTTTACAGATGTTAATGCTAGTTTGGATATAGTATTCTGTCATCAGCTCAGTCAATGCTGTTAGATCATTTCCTGTGCATGACTGAAAAATTTCTTGTGAAACAACAAATACTTTTAGTTGAGTACTACAGGAATAATATTTGGGACTACTGTTGGAAGGATCTCTGACTCAGTTTTTTCCAGAGTATCATCAGGACTATCAGCACAGTTTCCAATAAAGAAATAACATCCTACCTTCTGGGCTTTCCTTATTTTAGTTTCCACAGAGAATACAAATAGCTCTGCCTAGTAACCACATCACCAGAGCTGTATTTCTCTATTTTACTGGTTTAGGATCACAAAGAGGACAGTAGTATAAAAATTATTGGTGGTGTCATACTTATTTATAGCGCTTTTTTTTTTTTTTTTTCCCCTTGGAGTCATAAAATGAAAATCTGTTAATTGTACACTGATCGTTACAAGTGTTTTGAATTCGCTGTGTAGGTCTTGAGTCTACATTCTGTGCTTCACAAACTCCCATCTTGACCTGTTCTGCTACCACTAAAGCTAGTGACATAAAAGATAGCGTGAACTAATTTTGGATCAGGAAATGAACACTTTACATTAAAACGTTATCCATAATACCGGCAAGTCAAACATTGGAACAGCATTTCCAATTCTGAATTATAGATTTATAAAGGTTGCAATTAACTGCTGTAAAATTTAAGTGGGATATTCTAAAGTTGTCAGTCAGCGGTTGCTGAGACAGTATATTTACTTATCTTGGTTCACCTCTGCCAACAGTATGTTTCATCACCATCTTTTATTGCCTCATTTTGCTGAGGTAGATATAAAGCAACAAAACAACGTAACTTTGTTCAGCAGAGGGAAGGAGGGGAGTTATTCAGAACTTGGTCTTATTTATCTAGCTCATCTGCAAAAATCCTTAAAATGGGGATTTAGTAACAAGACCTTGCAGCATTATTGGGTTTTTCACTAATTGAGCCTTTTTGGTTTAACTAGAATTATTACTAAAGTACTTCACAAGAAAATTCTGTAATTAAGCTTTTAGAAGTCTTAAGTAGTTGCATTGTTGAATGGTAATTTTCTTGTGCTGGAAAGAAAAAGCTATAAAGAAAACTCACCAGAAGGAAGATGGGACTAATTGCTACCCAACAAACTCGCCAGTACCAGCCTGGGGTAAAGCCTAGCATTTCTTTCACATCGTTGCAAAACTGGGTGATGCCTGTGGAGACAGGTGGGAGGAGAGTGGTGACAGCAGATAGAAGGTTTTCCTAAGTAGATGCACAGCATTTTGTACACACAGAAAATAAATTCAGAATCCATCATAAAAGACTGTTTTGTTCCTATAATTCTCACTTATATTAAATTCTTAATTATTATGAATTAGAGCTTGTTACTTTTAAATGTACTTCTGTCAGAGAACAATTAATAATAGTTCTCATAGATTTGGTAATTGGTGGGTTTGTAAGAAGGTTTGGTGAACTTTTTTCTGGAGACATCAGTGATCTTGTCTGCAGAAAGAGAGGAGATGCTGCACTGCAGAAGCTCAGGAATTTGGGGTAGTGCTGTTTGTCAGCGTGGCAGCAGACCTACCGTAGAACCAGGCCACAGCAACCGCTTCCAGAAACACGACTGTTAGGACAGCTGGACCAGTGGCATATTCTTCAAACAGCTTTACCACATACGCACCTCCCTAGAAAGGAGACCACATTATCAGTGAGCCAAAGACCCAGTTAGGGAAATCCTGTAATGCTGCTGTTTATTATTGCCTTCGTCTGGAGCAGAGCATTCACAGATGGGTAATTCAGTCAGTTCTGTTGCTCTGGTGCTGTACCTAGCAGTAAAATCCTTGAGCGTGCTGCTGATGTGGTCACTCTCTGTGAACATATTTCACCAGTGGGGCTGCCATGTGGAAAAGCTAAAAATTAATCTGGTGGCTGCTCTAGATGGATGTTAATGAACAAATGATATGTGGTGGGGGTTGATGGGATGGCTTTTTGCATGCCTTCTGTGATGGCATCTTCTTTTGCCAACGTGAGTCAGTTACTGAACAGGAAATAAGGTGTTACCTTGCTTTCTTTCCATTTGGGATCTAGAATCATGAAGGAGGAGAGCACTGTGTCTCCAAGAGGAACTAAGTCTCCTTTTATAGCAAACACTTTAAATGGGAAGGGAGTTGCACATAAATGAGCAAGTGGAGTGAAACATGACTGGAAGAAAAGCCAAGTATTTTTTCCTTGTCCCTTATGATTATTACACTCATTATTCAGAATGTTGCTTGTTATGAAAATGAAATCCCACAAGCCCCACAGAGACTATTTATTGGGACTGATCTTGATTTCTGGCCTGGTTTAATGAGAGAGATCCAGGAAATTCATTGCTAGAAATTTTTGAAGAGCAACGGTCAATTACAGCATCTTCTGGCAGATAATGTTTTGATCATTCTTTTATAATTCAAAATACAATCCAAAGATTGCAAAAATTAAAATAACAATTATTGTTTTTTGAGAACCAGAAGTAAACCACATACAAAATGTGGAAGGTTGTCTGCTTACTGCTTCAAGTAAGATATAGATCCAAGTATAGATTTCCAATGCATTAAGAAAACAGGCTGGAGATTTAATTGAACTTCTTGAAACTCTCTTCAAAAAGTACTACTCTGTCCAAGATCTCGTTTGCAGGAAACTGCCAGTAAGAAAGCTGAGGAGTGGGCAAAATACTTACAAATGTCAGTGTTGCTAATGACCCCAAAAAGCAAACGATGATCAGACCAAGGACAAACAATTCCCTGCGTTTGCTCCAGACATGGGGGAATTCATCCAGTACTCCAGTAATCACTCCCTCTAGTCCTGCAAACTGAAAAGTATGGAAAAATTACTGAAAATAGAGGGCGGTTTTAACCGCTTTAAAGTATGTTTCAATGCTTGAAGGTGCTTTAAGTCACTGAAACACTGGTGCTTTATTCTGCCTGTAGAGTTGGCGTGACTGTTGTTTAGACAGTTTTTCTTCAGAACTTGAAACTCCTTAAAGTGGGGATTTAGTCTTGTCATATCTGTAGCAAGTGCCTATCACCCAGAGGAAGTACTGTATTACAAGTCATAGGATGCTGGTAAGTGGCAGGTGGCTCAGCAGAACCAAGATTGTGAAATCAGCTGAGTTCAGCCTTCCTGGAAGGAGCTGATTCTCAACCTGCAAAAAACCAGCTCACATAGCATGTTTTTAGAACATCTCTTCGCAGTGCTGTTGAGGCCACCTCCAGCTCCCACCTTTTAAATCCAATTAGTGTGAAAAAAAATTCTAGACTTCAATAATTGCTTTGTAAGTTTACATGAGAGGAGGAGCCTGGAAGGTGCATTCAACTGGGAGTTTATGAATCAAGTGCTTTGGTTGTGTTTCCAGGTCTGTTACTAATTGTCACAGTATGACACTGACAAATAATTTCATTTTATTTAGGCCTATTTAGGTCCAAATTGGAGTAAAAGTTGATGTCTTGAGATGCCAATCCTGCTTTAGACCCTTTAGGGACAGCACAGTATTTGTAATTCTGTTTCTTCTGATGTTTGCGGGGTAAGGCCACGCGCCAAATACCGAGAGGTCCACAGTCTCACCTACTGTCTACTCACCGTGCTGTCTAATCCCAGCGTGAGTAACATCAGGAAAAAGATGATGGCAAAGAAAGTGGAAGCAGGCATGTTTGCAATGGCCTCAGCATATGTAATGAAGAGAAGGCTGGGTCCTGGTATCAGAATGGAGAATGAGGGATAATTGTTAGCGTGCTACTGCTGGGAGGAGGACAGGCTGCTTCCCTGTACCGTGTTATCTTCCAGGGGAAGACTTCTCCCCCCAGGCTATTTTGCAGGGTGCAGTCACCACCACGTCTGTGAAGCTGCATGCACTACGACTTCTACATGCTGTCTTTATGGAATATTTATAACAGTGCCCTCATCATAAAGTAAGGCAGTATCCTAAATTACATACTAAATATTTTGCATAATTTGGGCCGTTCTCGATCTAGAAGATAATATACAAATACTTTCTATCTTAAAAGCAGTTTGAGAGATGTGTACAAAAAGGTAGCCTACCAGTGTCTTTGGCAACCTCTGATACATCTTCATTCCTCATCTCAGCCATGTATCCCAGCACAGTGAAAATGACAAATCCAGACACAAAACTAGTCACGCAGTTCACGGTACTGGTAACCAGGGCATCTCTGCAACAGAAGACCTAACTCATATCAGGGAATCGGCATCTGCTAGAAAGAGCAGTTTACTACCAGGTGGGGTGAGTTAATGATCTGGATAGTATCCTAGAAAATCTAGAGGAACACAGTAGAAAAAAAACAACCAGCAGATTTGAAAGAAAAAAACCCACCCAACCATGACTACTTTTTCTTCTTCAAACAGATATTCTAACGTTAGTCTGACATGGGATTGAATGCTGGATGCTGAGTGGTGTTTTAAAAAAATAGGAATTACCATAGGGATATTAAAGAATTGAGAATTTTATTTTACAAGTTATAATTAGTGTTTCTTAAGATACTGAGAAAACACCTATAAATTGCCTTTCAGGTCTAAAGTCACTTCCGAACTGATTGCTGAGATTAAATGATTATAATCTGATGGTTTGGCAGGGAGTTAGTCCATTTTGTTGTGGCAGATTTCTACATCTTAGACTCCTTCCTGTAACTGGTAGAGATTATCTCTCTTTAGGGTAGGCACAACAGAGGAGAAATGTTGTCGACTGCAGATTCTTTCAATAAGGACTTCTGTTATGCCTCTCTCTGATTTGTATGTACACAGGTCTGACAATTGAGTGCCTTTCGCCAGCACTGTGTTTCTTTTTCTGTAAATACCCGTAGTTACTCTTTTTAAACTCAGTTTTACTTATAGTATAAGGTAGAACTCACTGGTAGCAGTTGTTATGGAACTTGTTGTAGCTGGCGTAAGCCAATAGGACCCCAAAACCTGGACCAAGGGAGAAAAAAATCTGAGCTGCTGCATCGACCCAGACCTGAAAAATATTGAAGATCAAGAAAAAATGACATGAAAGAGATTGAATGAGTTCAGCTTATTCAGAATATCATTTACACCTACAAAACTGTCTTTCACTAGTCTGCCTGTATCCTAGTCCGGCTCTAACAAACATTTTGTTAAGGACAAGATGCTGAAATATGAATATTTATCGTATATCTGTGAGAGTTGTAAATATCCACTATAATTTTAGTGCTGTTAGTGCCTGTGCAGTACTTCTTGTAGCTCTTTACACTGCTGTAAGTACTCGCTGGCAGTTTCACTTCTGACAGCATCTTAGATTAATTCACCGTGATTTGCCTGTAATCAGTTTAACATAAGTTTTGCAATGTATAGAGAACTTCCTATCCATGATTTTGCAGTGGGGTTGGGCCACCTTCCTCCAAACCCTGTGTGCTGTGGAATAGTCCTCTGTTTGGCTGCGTGTCCTCCAGACTAAGTAGGAGATGAACACTGCTGAGATTTTTTCCTAGATTTATGGAAATCTATTTGACAGTGTGGATGCAGTTCTAGGCCTTGGGACTCAGTTCAGCTTTGTTGCAGCCATGACAGAGGCAAGTGTGATGATCTTGTTATGAAAAGCCTGTTGTACTTGAAAAGTGGCCATAGCCTTAATGAGTAGTGTTCCTAAAGTACAATATCAGCACTCTTTCTGAAGGTGAAAGTCCTCGTTCATTTATCCTCTTTTGATTGAAACATGGAGTTCATTACAACTCGTTTCTAATATTCTCTTCCATCGTGTGAGGCCATCCTGTATCATCCACAGAGCTCAGAGCTCTGTCATCGTCCAGCACACAGATTGCAATCTGCTGTCCTCACTTCAGATACATCCAATACAATATCAATGCCCTTTATTGCTTTTTCAGAAGATGTTGGTCCCTTATTGGAGATGCTGCTTTATCAGAGACGGGTGTCTTTTCATTTCCTCTTCATTCAAAGCTCTCCATATCAGCTGGGCAGCAGCAGACTTGCAAACATTAGAATTTTTAATCTTTGTATTTGTAGTATTTATTGCTTTGGGGTTTTTCCATCACCCTCCTCACTAGACACTTTCATAGGCAGCGAAGTAAGTGCAGCCTTGAGCCTGACGGACTACTTGTCATCCACAGAGTTCAAAGCTGAATCAGATGCCTGGGGTTTGTTGGTTAGCTCAGCCTTGTCCTCATGCCCCCTTTCCTTCTAAATCTTGATGATGTATGCAAGCCCAACTGATTTATTCCTTCTCCTTATGCACTTGCATGGATTACTGAGTCATGTTTTGGTTGGTGGCTGCAGAGAATCTCCTTGGGTTTATCTGCCAAAGCTTGTCACAGGACAGAAAGCTGAAGTTTTGACTCTAGTAACCTGCACTATGTAAACACGGGCAACTGTGGATACCGTTGGGCTGTGGAAGAGCCTGCCCAAGTGTGTAATGATTCCCTCACAGCCAAAAAACCTGCAGCTAGACCAGTTGTTAGGGTTTAATAAGTTTAATTTGCTCAGTGTGACTGTCACAGGTACAGGATTTTGTTGCAGTGTAGCAGCAATCACCGCGTCTCACTCAATGTCAGGCTGTTCACCACTTTCCTGGTGAAAAATTGTTTGGTCACTTGGTGTTTTTTCCTCCATATCACTAATTCTATTCAACCGCTGTATGGGAACTCTACTATTAGTTCAAGCTGAATTGATGGTGGACTCTAATCTTTAAAAAAAACCAACTTTATAATTATGGAAAGAATAGCATGACTGTTTAAACAAGAGCATGAAGCCAGTCTTTTAAGTCTGTGCTAAGGCATTTGCTTAATCATGCTCTGTGCTGAAAACAAACATTGAAGTATATACATGCTGACAGACTAAAAGCAAATCTCTACCCTTTCACAATGTTTTTTACCTCAGTGGCCAGGAGTTTCTGCCAGTCAGGTTTCACGTAGTAGAGGACACCTCTCCAAGCCCCAGGCAAAGTTGCACCTCTCACTAGCAGGATAGAGAGTATGATGTAAGGGAATGTGGCAGTCACCCATACCACCTGTGAGGGAAAACAGCAAGGTAGCATGTGCCATGGGTAGAAAGTTAACAGGTGATAACAGGTTATTCTTATTATAGCTCTTAGCATTTATTACATCATCACGTGAACTTCTCAGAAGGTCTGTAAACGGACAGTTTGCACATCTATACCCATGCTTTCTCTTGGCAGTGTTGTTCATGTCCAGAGAACAGCGGTGTAACATACTGTTGTTCTGTATTACTTGGGTAACAGTAGAAGTCACTCTACAGTAAGTGCTTCCCAAATACATGAGCCTGTAATTCCTGTCATGGAGACAATCTGAGATAATTTTCTGCCAAGTTAATTGGCTCATTTAGAACTGCTGCAAAACTAGACTGTACCAAGTTGATTTGTCTTGCTTTTGCATTCACCTTGCCCGATGTTTTGACCCCTTTCCAGATGCTGAAGTATACAATGGTGAAGATTAACAATAAACAGAGGGTCAATTGCCAGCTAATGCCCCCCAGGTCATCCAGCCCATCGGACCTGTGCACCTGTAGAACGTGGCGGCTGAAAAGGGAAAGAAAAACATAGTATAGAATTTTTTTTTTAACAAATGTTTATGTTAAGTATGCTTTGAACAGTCCTGTGCTGTGGTCTGAGCATTACAAGTAGTCCTGAGGCCTTGATAAGAAGCCTTCAGAGTAAATTAAAAATAAAATCTAAAATTAAAAGTTTGATATTAATGGTACACCAGTGATGATAAATGGTGACAGCTGACAGTGGTTGGGAACCTCTGCTCTAAAACAGAGTAACCCCCCATACACCCTAAGCTTCAATACACCTCCAAATATTTAGTTATTTGAATAGTTCAGAAAAGGGTACCGCTAATATAACAGCCCTGCTCCCCCTCCAAAGAAAAGCTTGCTACATGTTCCACCGTTCTGTCTAATATTACTGTCCTCACTTACATGCACTTACGTATAAAATTCTTCTGCGGGAGAGATGGAGTACAGGGACCAGCTGACATTGTCCTTGCTGAAGTAGTTAGTGCAGTTGCCTGTGTTCCAAGGATTTGTGCAGCTAGTCCATGGCAGCTCCGCAGTGAAGGAGGATACGAGGTAGTAAAAGGCCCAAGCCATAATGGTGTTGTAGTAGGAGGCTACGTAAAGATCTATTATACAGATGGCAAAGCCAATCCCTAGTAAGGTAGGAAATAATTACATGAAGTGAGTGCAAGTTTTAGGGGAAAAACAAAAAAAAAAAGGAGGGAATTGGTTATCACATCAACTACAATTAGTAACTGTATAAGGCAGCTCTGCAGAAGGCAGATATACTCTCTCTCAAGTTTATGACACTGGAATTTCTTGTGGCTTCAGAAACACTCAGGCTCTGATTCCGAAAAAACATTCTTAATCAAGACAGAATATGCTTACAGGTTTTTTTTTCATCTGTTCCTAAATTCCTGGAATTCAGAAATAGGCATCTTGCACTCTCAGCAAATAAAAAAGACAGGACCAGAGCTGTAACACTGGAAGCAAGAATAAACAAGCATATAGAACAGGTCCTTTTAATGTAGAAGACTCTGTGGTAGGATGGGAATTGACAGCCCAGGCTGAAGATGGAGAATCATTTCTTCATAATATATTTGTAAGAGAAATAATAGATCTGTATTCTTTCCTGGTTTTAATTCTGCCTTGAATTCAGTAATGTTACTTATTTACTTTACTTACTTTATTAATTAATTTTATTGTTTGCCTTGAATTCAGTAATGTTACTTACTTTATTAATTACATTTTTTGGTTTTGGTTGGGGTTTTTTTAATATTTTCAGGCTTTGATGAGAGAAAGTGGACTGGCCTCTAGCTAATCAATGCGAGAGTTGCACATCATTTGCGTATATGGGAATATACACACACATCTGCAGGTGTACATAAAGTTTTAGGAAAGCTTTCTTTGTAAAGCCAAAATCTTGTGTAGAACAAGCCTTACTTTGTGTTATGGTTTAACTCCATACTAGCTACTGTGAAGAAAATTAAGTCTACCCCAGCCAAAACCAGTGCTTTGTGAGATTTTAATTTTTTTTTTAAAAAAATTTCACTATTTTAGGAAATCTTTGAGTTATTCATAAGGTTCCTAGTTATTTTCCATTTCCCTTCTTTACCTTTGAATATAGGACATATTTTTCTCCAAATTGAAATACACCCATTCCTGTGGTACTGTCCTAGTGCTAGTTCCATATAGAAGAGAGGGATCCCTCCAAAGATGGCCATAATTGTGTAAGGAATGAGGAATGCTCCTGCAAGAAAGAAAGCAGATGATTGTAACTCTTCATAGGACTTCTCTTCCAACTGCACCAGCAGTCCATAAACAACAGTTCCTTCCATCCCACGGGGAAAATGCATATCCCCTCCCTAGCCAGTGTGCCACACTGAATTACCAGGGGATTTCTCAGAATAACTGCTTAGCAGTGTGAATAAACAGCAACACTCAGGCCAAACTTCTTACATTTCTGAAACAAGTATACATAGGATGCCCCTAGACTGCACTGGCTACAACAGATACAATTGTGAGATGGGCTACAGATAAAATAATTAATTTCTTCAGTAAAATGCCTTTGTTAGACTCCTTTCCAAGACCTACTTGGTTATATGGAGAGTCTAAGACCTAGCATTCCTGATGAGTTGGGTGTGACAGGCTGGTTTATTGGATTTTAAAATACTCCTTGGGACGGGGATTTCTCTTGGAAGGTGGTTCTGCACCTAACTGCCTCTCAGCTTCTAGTCGTACTAATTTTTTTAGATCTTGCTAAACAGTTTTTCTTCCATCTTAATGTGTCTAGTCATTCTATCCCAGTATTAAGGTTTTCCACTTTGCTTGAAAAGTCATTTCCCCTTGGTCATTTGTTATATATGATATTAAAATAAGCCCCTAAATCATCCAGTTAGAAGCAAAGAAGTTGAGCATTAAGCAGACAGAACTAGTCACTGACCTCCTCCGTTCTGATAGCATATATAAGGAAATCTCCACACATTTCCCAGATCCACTGCATATCCAATGACAGAGAGTAGAAAGTCAATTTTTTTACTCCAGGTCTCTCTGTCTTCTAGCTCCATCAGCTGCTGCTGGCCTTCTGCACCGCAGGTGGTAGAAGTTGTGGTTGTAGTGGTGGTTGTGGCTGCTGGGGCGGTGCACTGGGCATCTTCCACCTCTCCCATTCCATTGCAGGGAACAGAGCTCTGAACCCCTGAATAACCATTGGAGATCTGAGCTGCCTCCCCTTTATCTCCCTGGCTGGGATGGACTTTATTGCCATCCTCCACGAGCCGTAGGGCCGATTTAGGGTTCCTGACCAGAAGTCCATTCTTCTCTTTACAATCTTCTCCTTCCTTACAGTCCGAGACATCTTTCTTGGAAGTCAGCGGCTCAGTCTCATTGCTTGTTGCCTTTTTTTCCATTTTGTCTGAGATTTGTTCTGATCACTTGCAGACGAACAGCAGAGTCCCCTTGTGGCTCTTCTTCCCACGCTTTTATTCCCAGTGTATTCCCAACACTTTTAGAATTCCTCTCCCATATTTAAATCCATCAGATCGCAGGTACAAACACCATCTAAGAAACGAAAAATAGTTAAAAATCCATTACAGGGCTTGCTGATGCTGCTGACTTTCAAGTTACAACTGACAGATTCTGTGATTAAAATACTTTTGGACATCATTAACCATCACGGCACGCAATGTGAATCATTTAGCAGATAATCCATTCAGGGTTTTGTACAGAGAAAGGAATGAAGCAATCATCATCTTCTACAGCAGAAGTCGATATACCTGGCTTCTAACCTCTCCGGCAGACTTGCTGGACTTTGTGCATTGTTGGACAACTCACAGGCAGTCACAGTCCTGCTGTCTTCTGGTACACCACATTCTCCCTCTGAACACTGGTTTCACACTCAGGGAGGCTGTGGGACTCCCAGTTTGCGAAAATGAGGGCAGAGTTTAGTGTGGCTTGTATTTTCCTAAGTTCATCCTGTGACTTCTACTGGCAGTTTCTGGATTCACCCAGTATGAAGGGAAAAGAATTAATCAAATATGAGATAACAATGGATATACAAATTCTATTTCATGACCACCTTTCTTCAGAAATCCCACAGCGTCTGCTATGTTTAGCAGCAGACCTAGAAGGCTCAGATGAAAGTTTAGAAAAGTATTTATATCTCAGTGGGTTTGTATCAACTAACTTTTGAGGCTCAGTCAACACTAATAACAAGGAAAAAAAGATCAGAAAACTTCAATCTGATGGTTTTGAGTAAACTAACATGTGAGTCTAAAGGATGAAACCTGTCTCCAGGTTTTTATTTAACTCCTTGGGGAAATAAAGGCATCTTTCATTCTGTTTGGATCTGCTAACACTGGGGTTCCAGCCTCAGGAAGGGTAGTGGGCACTACTCCGGTGCTACTGACCATTGCCAGCAGAAAAACAGGCACTGGGAGAATCCCTGGCTTTACCTGCCTTCTTCATATATGCCAGAAGCATAATTCAGCCATCCAAAAATAAAGAAAAAGTATAAAACAATTAACTTTTCCTTCAGGACAAAAAGAACAGAAAAAGAATTGTGTTTCAGTGGATCATGTTTTGTTTTCTGCTCATTTGTTCAGGTAGTGTAAATGCCCAGCTGCCTTTACTCAACAAAATCGTGAAATAGGAGCTGATCCTCTGTGCTGTGAATTCCCTAGGGTAGTAACCTTGCTTTATAGTTAGAAAAATGTTACAGAATCGACACGATGCCACCACAGATTAAATTTTTATCCTTACATCTAATTTTCCCTTTTCAAAGCATTTTACCACGGTAAATATCATTGTCACATCCCAACAGAAGAATAAACATTATTTCACTTTCAGCTGTTGGAAAAACTAAAGCAAAGAAGGGATATTATTTGCTCATTGCTCGAATTTGCTCATTGCCAGAGGTATTAAAACTCAAGTTCTTCCCAGCTTTCAGCCTTGTGCAAAGACAGTTTGTTAAACCTCTTCCTCAACATTTACCAGTGCAAGCTGAAAGAGAAGGAAAGTTATCGAGCTCCAGAGTAAACCCGAGCACGTTCTCTAGAGAAAAGTCACTTGAAGGTGTTGTTTACAACTTTGAGAAGTCTCTAGTTCTTCAGGCTTACGTTCTGTCTTTACCCAGATAATGTTCTTTTCATCTTATAGCAAGCAGTGCATCATTAATGCTGAATTCTTACAAGAGCAGTACTTCGTTACCATTAGTTAATCATCCACAAAGACTGAAACATCTTCAGAGTTCCAGAGAATACTACTACAGCAAAGGAGTTTGTTTTACCTGCAAGACTATAAAACCTGAATGTCTTTGGAGTCCGAAACCTTCCAAATATCCCACAAGAGCTTATGTAGATGAAAAGAGTCCTACGATCGCTGGTGGCAACATAAAAATCCTAGGAAAGGCCACAGCCAATCCTCCCCTTGTATAGAGCATGTTAAGTATAAGGTAGGAATATGGAAAAGTAATCTGAGCCCTTCTGGACTTTACACCTCTTACTCATAAATGGGAAAGCAGTAAAGGATGTTGATTTAGCTGCATTATCTCATGAGACTAAATTTTCCATATCTGAGACTTAAACCCTCACTGTATTTGTAAAACATTTTATTTCTGCACATCGATACTTCTTGGCACTTTCTTTACTGAGGAGAGGTCATTGAACGTACAGTTGATTTCCCATCTCTGTGACAATCAGGATAGTTGTCTTACCCGGATCTAAGCTCCTTCTGGTCTTCTGCGGACCAGAGGAAAGAAATATCACATTACTTGCAATATTTTTGTAGAATTTTCAGTAGTTTGAGCCTCGGATATGCAAAAAGATTTGTGAACCGTCAGGGCCTTCAGCTGGAATTCAAACTATTCCTTTCTGAAACAGAGCTACAGCTTGTGAGCCACCCTGGGAAATCTCTGGAGTGATGGACTCTACAGCTATGCGGTGGTGTTCACAGTATCATAGTTGGCACACAAAAACAGAACAGTTACAGAATCAGAAGATTTCATTATGCTGTAAAAAACTGTGGGAGAATGTACTTTTCCCCTCCTCTTTTATAATTTTAAAAAAAAAAAATCTATCTGAAGAAATTGTAACCACTATAAGCAGTGCAAACAGCTGCAGAACTATAGCTCTTGGGGTTGAAAAGTACTCTAGGACCACTAGGGAAGATATCCCTGGGACAATTAAGTTAATACTGAAGGATTTTGCCCACCCCAGTCTCTGCTTCATCTCAGCAATTACAGGTGCTAGAATGACAATAGTGAATGTTCTAAGAAATGGCAGTTTATTACCTATTTTCAATCTGAGCTGTTGCAAAGGTTGCTCTTACACAAATACACATTGGCTTCTTATCACCAACATAATTAGCTACAGAAGAAAAAAAAAAAAAAGATAGCTGTGCCTTCATTTTGTTTTGATCTGGTTTTTGTAGACACAACTTTGCTCCTTTAAGAGGCCCTAAGTGTTGGTGCCTTTTCTCTCACCAGTAGCTCCGAACAGAGATTATTCTAAGGGGCAGTTTTCATCTCCATAACGCTGTGCTGCCCAGGAGTACGAGAAAGGTGCTGTGCTGCCAGCCCTCTGAATTGCACTCCTCCTTACACCAAGAGTGACTAAAGAGGAATGACCCTCAGCTCTGCTCTGGAGAGAGAGACACCCTGTAACAACCAGCGTGTCCTCCACAACTATTCCCTGCTTGCCTTGTTTGTTGAAAACCCTAGGATGAATAATTGAAGACATGTGTTTCTACAAGCTTGGCTGAAGCCACCAACGCAGTTCACATAAGCCAAATATTAATTAAATTATCATTTTTGGTTACTCCTACACAGAGCTAAACTTGAACCAGCACTGTAGATGTAAAAGCCCTGCATGTCCCTCGATGCACAAACCCAATTCTTTGCCCCTGTCAAGGCGATCCTCAAGAAGCATCCCTGTCCTGGGGTCCAGTTCCTTCCCCAGCAGGGAGATGCACAACTGGCCTTATTTCCTGAGGCATGCAGTGACCTCTCGTGGCAGTGTGGGAGTTCCTTTCCTTTAATGCTTTCCCATGTTGTAAAGCAAATCTTTCTAGGTCTTTAAAAATAAAATTATTTTCTTTTCTTTTTTTTTATTATTAAAGGAGAAAATTGACTTTTAATGTGTCTAGGAGATTAAAACAATTAGGTTGAAGTGCAGCAAATACCAGATGCTTCAAGGGAGGCAAATTTCAATGCCTCAAGTCACCTGGAGAATGTTTTATTTGAGGTGGGGCAGCACTGACTTCCTGAACTCCCCAGCACAAGGCTTGTTCAGCCTCACCGCACGACTACAAAAGTCATTACTCGTCTCCAAATGATCAAATACATTTTAACTCACACAGTTGCAAAATATGTATATTTGCACCTATTTCACTTCATACAAATCATGTTCTTTTTCCGTGTGTTGATTTTATAAACCAGTGCTTGCTGGAGCACCAGCCCCTCACTGGGTTACAGCTGCATTCCTGTAGCAGAACTCACATCACCATCACTCCCACTGCTGCTCCACCTGCCTTACTCCTGTCCAGTTACATGCTAGCACTTGCAAAGACTTAAAGTACTTTGAACTCTGAAACAGAAAGTTAGCCTACAGTGTTAGCAAACAGAATCAAGCATTAAAATTTCTGTTAACTTGACCTAAACCTCCCTTTTCTCACAAAGTATTTAAGATTGTCAAAATTGGGAAGCTGCTTGACTGCCTTGTACACCTTGCAGTGAAGATGCAGTTCACACAGGCAATTGTGTGTAAGTGGAAAGAGTCTGAGGAAATTACTTTTATCTAGAAAATCAAGCAAGAAGTTTGTATGACAAGACAGAAATCACGTATCCCACACAGGAAAAAGCTGCGTTGTTTATCTGTAGGACTGTTCTCACCTCTGAGCCACAATATCAACCATGACCCTCCAACAGGGTGTTTCCAGGTACTCGACTCTGATAAATGCAGCAGCAAACATTTCTGGTCTTCACCCATATCTCCTCACACAGCCCTATGTCTTACTAAACCAGAGTAGAACTGTACTCCACAAGTAGTCCCACTGAGACAACGGCCCTCCGGGGAGAATAAAAGGCTCCTTACCAAAGTAAGAATGGTATAAACAGTGAGCTCTCTCTTATTGTTCCCAAATAAGGCTAAATATAGGTAAGATGTTAAAATAGTGCTCCTGAAAGCAATAGTATTGGGGGAATATAAACCTGTACTGTGAGTTTTATGTCATAATCTTGTCCGTTCTTCAGTCTGAAATTAAAAAGTCGGCAGCAGAAAGAGATTTTTACCTTTAAAACTTCGTTGAGAAGACAGACACTATTGTACTGGGAATGCTGCCAAATTGATGACAGTCATTTAAAGAACAGAGGGAGGGGGGAAGAAAATGTATTTTATGGCTCAAGTGTGTCTATATGTAGTGCAAGGAAACAGATAAGCTTAGAGAGGGAGTGATGTTCCTTTTGTATTTTTCCTCAGATTATTTATATAAACTTGAAGGAAGAGTCATAACACAGCAAACATCACCTAATAAATAGAGCACTGTTCCTTAATATAACTCTGCACAGGCAGAATATTAATTATAAATTAATGGGCACGGTGTTTCACCTAAAAGACCTCTTTGCAGAGTCAAGTCAAAGCCTGGCTGCACAAGCACATGCACACTGGCATATGTATATTTGTAATGGCTTTACCTAAAGAAAAGAAACAGTCACCACCGTTCCCAGTTGATGTTTCTCTGAAGGAGACTTGTTAATGGCTATTTCCAAATTAGAGCCCCTTTGTTCAGGCTCCAAGTTCTACTCCAGTTCTTTATGAAACACTTATCCCATAGATGGGCTTCGTTAGGTTGTGTAAGGTCTACAGGATGCAGACTGCCAGATCAACAGATCTGCAGAAATAGATTTGTAAAAGAGTTAAAACTTTAGCATCGGAAAGGGCACCAGGATACAGGACGAACATTTCTTTATGCTCTTAAAACTTTTTCTGATGAAAACTCGGTGGTTTATATTTCCATGGAGGAAAGCAGGAAAGAGCTTAAATGCACTGCACGTTTCCATGTGTGGGAAGAATTTAGGGGGTTTATTAAATTCCAGTTTTGGGGCAGTTTTTTTATTAATTTGTATAACCATTTGAAAATCCTCACACTCCGTCCAATTAGAAAATGGACCCACAACAGTCATTTGCTATGTGCCAAGTTTACAAAGTACTCTCCAGGAAAATTACAATTTACTCATCAAAGCACCAGAAGACAAAGCCCAAGTGTACGAGACCTTTCCTGGTAAAATGCCTGACAGCTAACACCACACACTGAAAAAACTCCACAGCATTTCCAAGAATCCAAACCCGGTAAATGCACAATCCTTTGCTCCCCAGGCTTTCTTAGCACATCAGAACATGTTTTCCATGATTATTTAGATATTCAGTTACATTGCATTCCTCACTTAAACTTCCATATTACTTAGCAAACCCAGCAAGCCAGTTGGTTTCAGCAGTAAACATGATCGACTATAAATATATATGACATACTCTTCACATTTATTACTTATAATAAAGCTGTCCCATTGAGTTAGATAATTTACTGTGATGGGATAGTTTACCTTTTAAAATATACTTAATATGGTTAATAAAGCTTATTTTACCCTTTAAAAATAAATAACAGTTTGTATAATTTTTTTTTCCCCTCAGATTGTGCTTTTTTCATTTTTCCTTATAGTTTAATGTGGTGGTTTTGGTAAATTTAAAACAAACTTTACATTTGTAATGCAATTATGTGGACTGCCAAAACTCTCATTTAAAATTGTCATAACATGTTCAGCTACAAGTATTTGACTCCCAACATTCATAATTGCTGAACGAGTGCCTGAACAAGACGGAGGAGAGCATATAGCATCAGAAAAGCAAGAAAAAGCATAAAAAGTTTGAAAAATCAAAGCAAACTTTCACCAAAAATCAATGTAACATTTTTACCCCCAACGCTTTCTTAGACGTACATTTTCCCAGTGTTTTAGAAATTACTCTAAGGCATTAAAAGCTAATTTAATATGAAAGAAAATATAGTATACATATTTTAGACTGTCATCAGTATTTCAGATTTTATAACCAAAGAGGAGTGAAAGTTAGTGAACCTCCGGTATCTGCTTGCTTTAGAAGGTAGGCTCTGAAGACAGCTGACTAGAAGTCTGTCTAAATTTCAAAAAGGGCTTTAGTTAGTGTGTTAAAAACAAAATTATAAAGTACCTGTCCTTCGGATGGGTTTGAAGCGTTTTCCTTGGAGTTATCCAAGCTCGAGTAACCTTCACCCACATTTACCTCAGAGTCTCGGGCACTCAGCCTGTGGGCAACTCAGCATCTTGGTGAGGTTTTTGTACACCAATCCCCCTCACATGGTCTGATTTCCAGATAATCTGCTGCCAAAGAGCTCTTTAAGAATTTTTGCGTCACTTCAGTCGAATAAACTTTATGTTTCACCAGGGCTGCAGCTCAGTTTTCCTCCTAGGGGTGGGTGGCTACATTTGTCCGTTCTGATCAGTTCAAAAGAGCAGGATCCAGTGAAGGCAGAGGGAGGAGGAGGGAAGCTTTTCTGGTAAGGGACAGTTTTGCTGGCAGTTATTACAGCTATAAATAACAGGATGGTGATGATGATGATGGAGACAACAGGATGGAAGTTTTGAGGGAGTCAGTAAATTACAAGTTTGCAGGTGGGTCTGTAGATTACAGAAAGATAGGAAAGAGTGGGATGTTATCACAATAAAAAGGCTTGGAAAGAGTAATTTATATTGCTGAACATTTACATCAGTTTAATAAAGAAAAAAAAAACTAGTTTTAAAGCATTAGGCACAAATTCTTTAAAAAGCATTTTGCTACTTCAGTAAGCTCAACAAGTAATTTCCTTTTTTTTTCTATTACTCCTCAAAGTATCTCACTCAACCTCTGAAACATGCTTTTTTTTTTTTTTCCTGCAGCTTCTTTCACCCAGAATTTCTTCATTCCTAGACTTTGCCATTTGTTTATAAAAAGTCATAAATCATAGTGCCAGAGTTCAGGTGGTAGATTTGGGCTAAAAAAAAAAAAAAAAAAAAAAAAAAGAGGAAAACCAGAATGGGGACAAGTAAGAATAGCTAATTGTTAGAGCAACAGCAGCTTTGCTGTAAGTGACAGCCAGTTTTCAGAGACTTGTTCTAAACAATTGAAAAGAAAACAAACTCTGAAAACTGAAAAGCATAGGGATACAATTAGCACTTTCCTTTTTCTGTCTTCTGGTCCCTTAATGATAGCAGCAGTCAGGCAGCAGCATGTCTTTTGCACCATCTCAAGGATGCCTCAGGTATTGCAATTGCAAACATTAAGGAGGTTAAAATTTGCTTTCTCAGTAATTCTTGTGGCCAGGATATTAAAAATGTTTTGTCAAATTAAGCTCATTGCCCTCAGTGGTGTTCGAGATTCATTGTTCTTTTAGTGACAATAGCAGTATCTAACTTGTCTTTTCTGCTGTGCTTGAATTCCCCTCATGTACTCTTCTTTCCAAAATAAACACTTTTGGTTTTTTTAATCTCCGCTTAGCTGTGGACAGGAAAAAAAAAAACTAAGTTAGTGTCCTTGCACATTATAATCATTCACAGCCTTCCCCCTGTTTTGTCCTATTCTGAAGAGTTTGCAAGGACAGATACTAGCACGCCTCACTCACGGAATCTTTCTGAAGATTAAAGTACAACATTTTACATGTGTGAGTATCCACCTGTGGATTAGACCCCATGCTTTGGAGAGCTGGCTTTTCCTTTCTTGGGAGGTGGGAGTTCAGACGGTATGAGGAATTTGTGCCTTCCCTTGCACAGAGATTTCCAGCTCACCACTGCTGGGAGGCTGGAATGGATTTTCCAAACTCACTTTTTCTACCCTCTTACCAGAAATAAATTCTCTCTACTTTGGGCTTTGGGTCCCTGTGCTCTTTATATAATTATACTTTTTTTTTTTTAAAAAAAAAAAAAAAAAAAAAAAAAAGCTTGAGACATCATGACCTTTGTCTGATGTTTTTCTCCATCTTAGTCTCTGCTTAGAGTAGATTCTTTTAACAAGTTCTGAAACACCATTGCATGTCATTCATCTTGGTCAACACTTGCAGTTAAATTGCTTTCATCTGCTCACATCAGCGGCAGCCAGTGTCAGTATTTACAGCTTTGTATGCCCTATGAAAATAACTAATGTGAAAAGCAGCATATTAAGGACACAAAACCACCTTTCATGACTTATCCTGGCCTTTATGTTCAGTTGATTTTTTTCATTAAAGCCTTCTGCAGCAGCACGGTTGCTTTAGTTTGGCAAGAAATGAAAAAAAAAAAAATAAAGTCTGGAGCCTTTGAGGCATAATATATATAAATAGCAGACTTGATATTTCAAGCAGACCCCTCAACTTCATGACACTTATTTACCCCATCTATGAAAAACTTTCAGGTCCTGTACTGAGGCCGTTCTAGAATTTCATTAAATCATCTGTGCATTGGCAGACAAAACCCTAGTGATTATGGGAAGGTACAAAAAAGCTGGAAGAAGAAAATGGACTTTACACAAGATTATGACTTCAAACACTTTCACAGTTCTCCACAGATAAAGCAGCTGTAGATTCCCATTACGAATGCGAGGACAAGAATGGGAAGCATCAATCAAATTACCTAATAACGGCAGTACCAGCTGTACTAAGAGATTAATAGTAATTCTGTGAGCGTGTCTGATTCACTGCCAGTAAGAGGATAGGAATAATCTTCCAAATAACACAAAACAAATCCTAAAATATTTATTTGTTCCTATCTTTTGCTTAGTTAGGAATCAGACTATGTTTAGAAGCTATTAAGATTGGCTTTCAGATAAAAGAAATTCTGATTGTCCTTCCCTCCTATTTTCTAAGCCGACTGTGCTGGGATATGCATCTGGGGGTTAGAGGGGTTTTTGGAGAGGTTTTGCTATTTCCACTAGAACTGCTTTGAGAAATTAATTCTGAGAATCAACAAACCGCCACTACACATACCCTCTGCTTCTGCCTGTTCCTTTTCTTAGTGTTAATTATCTTCTGACTTTTGATGGAAATCTGAGATAGTTGACTTTTATAACATTATTTGTCAAGATTTTCCATCTGTCAAAGGAACTGGCTTTGAATTATCGCATGAAAACTACATTGTGTTGATGACAAACCAGAAAAAGGAAACTGTCTGTTAATTGGTTGGTTCCTCAACAATCCCAAGGTCTTAAGGATTGCAAAGGATATAAACTAAAGGAAGAAACATCAATGAAATTGGAGCATGGATTGGTTTTTATTCTAACCTAAGCATGTTTATCAGATTGTTTTTTTTAATCTGGGTTTACAGTTCATAAGGCATAGAGCCTTCCTTGCTGAGAGACTGAACCTGTAGCAAGCTAGGCTTATTCCCACGTTATTACCATTCCATCAGTTGGAAAGAGTTTAATTTTTGATCATCCCTGAACCCTTTCCTGCAAACTGAGAGGAGTTAAGTAGTCTGTTCCCCATATGACTCTGCTGGAGGGGTGCTAGGCTGTCTGCTAGTCCATTCCGTCACCTCCAGGCTGTGCTCTGACGGCCAGGCACTGGAGAAGAGATGGAGGTTCTCTGGGTCCAGCCATGCATCACGCTACACCGAGAGCTTCCTCAGCCTCCGTAGAGCCTACGGCCTCTCGGTCATGTGCTCAACTGTCTTGATTAATCCCCCAGTTGAGGGCTGCTGATCACATTAGTGATTTTTGCTTTAGGACTAAAGGGCAGATCGATCCAGCAAACATCACATCAACAGGAGCTGTTAATGGGAAACCATTTTATACATACTGATTTTATTCATGTTTCGAAGTAGTTTAAAAACAAGCCCATTTGCCTGCATGATGTGCTTTATGGGTAAGGAGGACTGCTACTTAGCCAGAGCATGCAGCTATTGATTCTCACCAAATGCACAGCACTGGTTTTCACGGGCTGTTACCAGACATCAGCAAAACAGAGACTATCCTACCTCATACTGTGACAGCCTTGAATTAGTGTCATCAGCATGAACCTTAGAACAGTTTGTTCAACTGCCCTCAGAGCAGAAGAAATGCAGCTCTCACTTTGACATACTTATTTCCCCTCCTCTTCCCCACTCCTCCTTACAGAGGACTTATAAAACTGCTGGGCAAAAGAGTTTCTGCCAGATTGCCTTCATTTCCTACAACGTTTTAGCCATGTGGATTTTCTGTGCTTATTTGAAGGAAAGGAAAAAAAAAAACACCTTACTATTGTATAAGCTGTACAGGGAAATATCTGGGCAAGAGCGGTGGAGATAAGCACATGCTGGACAATACTTTTTTTAAATACTCAAATTAAAAAAAACTGGCTTGGAAAGCATTTTTAATTTGTCAAACTCAATCCTCATCAGTGCTGCCGTGGGCAACAGAAATGTTAGTTAAAACTCTGGAGAAAAAGTTAACTCTCTTTGGCTGCTATCCCTCTCATAGATAGCATAAAGGAAATAAAAGAACTGGTGTAATGTCATAAGCAGAAAGATTTTTTGAAGATTAAAATACTGACCTTTTGGAAGAAAAAGGCCCTCAAAACACCACATGCATTAGTCATAATCAAAATATTGTGCATAATAGAGCTTCCCAAGAGATCTGGCTTTGTTTCAGAGCCACCAGGGTTCAGCACCAAGTACAAGGCTGTTTACTCGCCTTGATGCAAGTAACCCAGCATGAGGTAGAGACTGCGCATCACAGCCCCAGAAAGCCAAAAGGGACCTCAGCAGATCATCTAGCCCATCCCTTTGCCAAAAGAAGGATCAACTCCATCAATGCCACTTCCAACATGTTCCTCTGTAACCTGTTCTTAAAAATCTCTGACAATGGAGGCCCCACACATCCTCAAGCAATCCATTCCAGTTCCTCACCGGCTCTACCACCAGAAGGCTTTTCCTAATCTCGCTGAATCGTGCTGCAGTTGAAGACCATGACTTTTTGATCAATTTATCATGAGCAGTGGGAACAAGATTCCCTTCTTTAAAACATCCATTTAGAATTCTATTAGAACAGGATGTCTCCCCGTTTCTCTGACTAAACACCATCGTTCTTTCAGCCTTTTACCAGTCAGTTTCAAGTTCTTACCCCTCTTCCCTACACTCACTTTGGTCTGCATCTTCCCTGAGGTGCAGTACCCCAAACTAAACTTTGCACCCCAGCAAAGATTAGGCAGAGCTGAGTAACTTTACCTGTATTGCAGGCTGCTTCTGTTCATACACCCCAATATTACTTTTTTCTAGACGTGTGTGATCAACCATGACATTTCCATAGTTTCCACACCACAAATTTAGCTCACGCTTGCTCTGCATGCTCAATTTGCCTGGCTAGGCACTTCCTTATACAATATATATATTTGCATGGTTTGACAGCAATCACATTTTGATGAGCAGAGTATAAATCAGAAATAATATTTGCCAATAACCTGATAATTAAATATACTGGACAATATCCTGCTAATTAAAAGGCACTTCCACAGAGATGAGCACACGTGATGCACACTTCTGCCAGTCAACACTGCAGAAAGCAAGACAGGTCATCTGCCTGTGCTGAGACAGAGGAAGATCTGAGCATTGGAGTCTTCTAGGCTGGAAAATCTCCTGCAAAGGTACAGCTTTGTTACTGCTCGTGACTATTGCTACTAGAAGAGGCAAGCTGAGAGCAACAGACATTTGATCCTGCACCCTCACACATCTTGAGATGACAGAAGCCCAGTGTAACATGAGCTGAATTTTGCTAGAAAGGTGTCAAATTATAGTATCACTGTACTGCCAAGATACATTCTGTACATCTCCAGAACAGCTTTGTTAGCTTTGCAGAAAATACTGCAAAGGGCACAGACTCCTAAAACACATTTCCAAGGGCAGTAACAATAACCTCCTGCTGCTGTTCCACACCAAATTCTCTTACCTAACCAGCACTCCTGCCCACTTCAGGAAATTGTAATCACAGCAGGTTGAATCATCTTGGATGACTCCTAAACAAACCCTAATCTGGATTTAGTTTAGCAGGGAACATGCAGACATGATTTAGCTTGTCATTTTTAATCTATGTACATACATATACACACATATTTGTGTAACTAGCACAAGATACACTTTCATAATCATTGAATAACTTTCTACCTCTGTGGTCTAAATGGATAAAAACCCAAATTGTAGAGTACCATGGCCACACTAAACATCCTTTTTTTCCTTGCATTTGACTTAAGCAACATCAATCTGCTACCTGTGGTAGCTGGAATTTGTGTTTTAGTATGAGTCCATCTTTACTTACCCTCTTATTTGCCTATGATTAAACGCAGTACGGAACAGGAAAATTGTCAGGGTACAAAGACAGCCACCCATTCCGGCACAATTTAAAATCAAAGTATTAGTACTGTGCTCATCATCTATTTGAGCACCTGTAGCACATGAAACACTGTCTTTGTTCAGAAAGCAACATCTTTAACTACTGAGAACATAAAGCAGCATGTTCTCCTGATACATTCACATTCTGGCTCACTTAGATCTGTTTGCAGGTCACTAATATATTTCCATTTTATTAGTTACATAAGGCTCACTTCAAAAAAGAAAACAAAACTATATCAGTCACTTTAGAAAGTGTTTATTCAAAAGCTTCATAGCACCATCTTGTTTTTTAAAACATCCAAATAAAATGCAGCAATTAAAATGATTTTTTTTTTCTGTTGAGCATGACACTAACTCCACCTGTGAACACACTTATGGTTGTTCTTGCTAATATAACTGAAAAATAGCGCTCCTGTGCACACAGACATAGCACTGGGCCTTGATATGGTTATCCAGTCCTAGCTCAGTAATGGAAGAATAAAAACAAGTGAAACTGGAAACCTCAAGGAAACAGTTTCCCCCCCCCCC